ACCAACATTGATGGGTTTCTAACGTAATGTGGAAGGGAGATTGGGTCATCTGTCGGAGGTATCCATTACAAAATGTGTTCGCCCTCGTCTTTAATGATCACATTGTGTAATATAATACACGTTCTCATTATCTTATTCAGATTTTCTGTATTTTAATAAAGTACCGGTTAATGCGTTGTAGCCCACCTCATCTGCAACGCGCCGATCGTTCGTTCAACATCCTTCCTAACAGCTTCCTGTTTGTTAGCAAATAATTTCTGTTTGACAATTGTTGGGTGCGGGATGGTTTACATCAAAGTTGCCCACTTAGGATATATACCATCAGATAGGTAATACCCCATTGTACGTCGATGCCCATTCACCATGTAATTAACTGGAGGCATTGTACCATTGATCATACTCTTGAATACTGGGGAATAATCGAGAACATTTAAGTCATTGTGTGAACCAGCCATACCAAATAAAGCATGCCAGATCCACAGATTTTTCAATGCAACAGTCTCCAATATGAGGGTAGGTTTATGGCTTCTTCCTGTGTGCGTGCTATAATACCCCCTAATTTCGGAAAATGGGTTGATCAATTCTGCACACAAAATCAGGGGATATTAAAAAAATTAAAGTAATTAACAAGCACAGACTACAAAATGAAATAAAGAATAACATAAAACGCTGAAGAAATTTAATTAATAGTAAATCCATTAATAACTTCCAAATTGTTACAACTCGGGAATCCCGTAACTCAAGGACCCCTTAACCAAAAGTTACTATTTAGAATTCCAACCAAATAAATACTAATATCAACTGAAACAAAAATAATATCCTACTTTTAAATAAACAAAAGGAATGGATAAGTCCTCCAGCTGCGGATCCTCAACCTTGAGACTTGACCTTCTAACAACCTGAAAAAAATAAATCGCGGGTTAAACCCTACGAACAAGTTCTCTCTACCAAACCTCTGAAAACAGATAAACAAATCATCTATATCAAAACCAACTAATAATTTCAATTATTTCAATTACATAGCTAATACATATGCTTTGACAATTATTTTATGACTCTACCAATAATCATTACAATAATCATTAAACTGTAGGTACTAGATTATTCTAATAAGAACATCCAATCAAATCCATCTTGCACATATAATATCCATAGATGAATTTTAAATCATCTATCACATAGCAATTTAATTATTCATTGGCAATTCAACCATGCCATTATAAATATATTTATTTAAATCATAGCAATTCAACCATGCTTCCCATATATGAAATTTATTCATAACTACTAAGGCAATACATTAAAGCCTTTGGCAACTCATCCATGCTTCCCATATATAAAATTTATTCATAACTACTAAGGCAATACATTAAAGCCTTTGACAACTCATCCATGCCTACAATTCAACCATGTACTAACTTTAACTATAAGCTTATCCATACCTAGACATCATATGCATGTTATATGCATAACCTTAATTTAAAACCCAACCAAATATGATTTAACCAACCATATTACCATACCAAATAAGAATATTAATCGTAAATGATATAAAAACATACACATATATTATATAAAATATATGTGTAAAACCTTCCATAACAATATTTGATTAATGAAATCATAAACATACATATATATATCAATAAATATATATATATATACACATTGCTACATACTTATCCCTAACATTTAAATCTTACATACACACATGTGTGTGTGTATATATATATATATATATATATATATATATATATATATATATATATATATATATATATATATATATATATGCATACTTCCTTCCGTAATATATTATTTAGTATTTATATTACACAAATAAGTGCTACTAAATATAGTAGTAACACTCCATCGCTCTAAAGCTCAAGGAATATCTCTTATAGTGTTCACATTCAACCCTAATGATTTAAAAATCAATTCTGAGGCATCACCGGACCCTACAGAAACTTTCCGGGACCTCAAACACCACAACACGCGCCTCCACGCGCTGTCACACGCCCCTAGGCCCACTGCACGCACCTCCACGCGCTGCCCTAAGTTGCCACATGTCATCACGCGCCCTCATGCCCTCTCACGCGCTCCACACGCGCCTGATGACTCATTGGGTGACGCGGCGTCTTCTGGTTGGTTGGTTCCTTAAGTTTTGTTGAGTTGCGCCGCAACGGATAATTTCTTAGTTGACCGGACTTAATCTAAGGTCCAGATACACATGTGCACGATTTTGTGTACACCGTAATGCACCGAATCCATCACTCCACCACAGCCGCATCCAAAGGCCCTGAAACGCGCGTACATACTCATCCCCTATGCCGTGCCGCACTGGATAACTTCTTTGATCATCAAACCCATCAACCCTCTGTAATGCGCGCTCACCACTATAATGTGTGCCGCGCCGCACCGAATCATGCCCTATTTTGAGTGCACCGAATTCTAAACCCTACAGTGGTGCTTATATATACAATATATATTATATTTATACACATAATTAAGTGCAAATATAATCCTTAAAGAAATACCAGAAAAATATAAAAAAAAATCCAGAAATTCTAGAAAAATTCGAAAAATCCTAATTAACCCTATTGGATCATAAATTAAGCGTAACGTTTGATTTTAATCCATGTATAATAATTACTCATGCTAAACATAATTAAATCCACCTTAAACAAATTACAAAAAATAAATTTTAATTCATATATTCTCACATACATAACTAAATTATCGTAACAATACATATACGTATTCATAAGTTTAAATCTATCACTTTGCACAGAATAAACCTGTTCCATCTAATCCGATTAATAAATTATTTTTTTTAATCAACAAAATAAGACAAAAATAAATTTGATATTCAAGGTGATAAGTTTATAAATTCCAAGAGGAGAAGTATAGAAGAACTTGCCTCTCTTTTCCAATTCCTGCCTCCTCTTTCTCTAATCCGGCTTTCTCCCTGTCAGCCCTTCTTTTTCTCTCTCTTTCTCTCTCTCTTTTTTTTTTTACGTGGAAAAACCTCTAACCCTAAAATATATTTATGCGCATTAAAAATCCAATTCCCTTTCCAATTGTGACTTACCAAAAATAACAATAATAATAATATTAATAATAATAATTCCAAATATTAAATATATATACACATATATATTATATAGTATATATATATATTCTTTCCATAAATCATTAGTTAAATAATCATCTATATATATATATATATGTCCTACCATAATGATTATTGATGAATTATATTTATCCACATATAATTATATTTATCCACCTAGAAAGATAAATCCTTTAAATATCTTTATAATCATGGGCCCTTATTAATTAACCCAACAAGGCTTTATTCATGCCCAAGATCACATCCGTTGGTCCAACTTTCCTTAAACCCAATCCAAATAAATTAAATACATAAAATAATTAAATAAATAATACACACAAACTTAAACGCACACAAATCAAATAAACAATTCACTCATTAGCATCTCGCAAATCAAACACCATACAAATTTAACAAATAAATTTACAAAATATAATTCAATTAAAACAAGACAGTATATCTACACACTTAATTAAATAAAAAACAAACCACAATTTATCTACGCACTTAATTAAATAAAACGAATCATTAAAAATAAATAAAAATAACAACACTTAAATTAAACAAATCAAAAAATAATAATAATAGTAATTACTTCCAATTAATAAATCCTTTAAAATATTGGGAAATTACACGTGCCATGCCATGCTGTGGGGCAGTTCTTCCATTCCCAATGCATACAATTTATAAAGCCAAGCATACCTGAAAATCCTCTCTCTTCCCCTTCTCGAAGCAGACATGCAATGTTGTCTGCATTTGGTGAGCATTGGTACTGCTCCGCATACACAACAATTATTGCATCATAAAACCTTTTCAAGCTTTCGATCGCAATGCGCTCAGAAATCTTTATATACTCGTCACAAAGATAAGCCGAAATTTCATATGCGAGTATACGGATTGCAGTAGTCATCTTCTGTGTAGGAGTGAACCCCATACGACCAAGGGCATCGGGTTTCTGGATGAACCATTCATCATATGCTGTAACACCGTTCAAAATGCGAAGAAACAACTCTCGTCGCATCCGAAACCTTCTACGAAATATGTTTGGTGGATAAATCGAATTTTCAGCAAAGCAATCTCGTAATAGCCATTGTGCTGCCTCCTCTCGATCACGTTTAATATCCTTTCTCTTACAAGGTTGAAAGAATGCCCGCACTCTATCATGTGATAATAATCTCGTCATATCGTTCATTATTTTTCGATGGATTTCAAAAATATTTTCCCCATCTGAATCTGAAGAATTCAATGGAAAAGTAGACTCGGAGATGGGTATATTTCGTTACGATGAAACCATTGTTTTTTTATATAAGAAAGATAAAGACTCAAAGAACAGAGAATGGACTTTTAGAATGCAAATAAGTGGATTTGATAATTGAAAGAAGATATAATTAAAAGAAGATAGAATAAGTGGTTTATATAGAAATTGAAAGAACATATAATGGACTTGAGAATGTAAAGAAGTGGACTTGATAATTGAAAAAAGATAAAATGAGTGTTTTATATAGAAATTAGAATATAACCATTGGGACTATAGTCGGGAAGAAGACAAAAAATTATTAAATTAAAATTAAAATTTTGTATTTTATTTTAAAATTAAATTAATAAATAAATAATAAAACATTCGGAAGGCATTCGGAAAAAAATAAAATGTTGGTACCAATAAAACATTTAACACGTAGCTCAATTTATTTTTTGCAGAGAAACAAGCAGAGAAAACGCCAAACGATCAACATAGAATCACAACTCCACTTATCTGCGGAAAGAACGGTTCAGATCAAATCAACATGATCAATCATCGTTGGACAACCAATCCTCCATACTCCCAAGAAGCACCATATAATTCTTCACACACATATACGCATTTCCAAATCATCTCATCTCTATTCTCATCCGTCACGCTTCACTAAATTTCTAATATTAAAAGCTACCCCTATCTTCAATTTCATTTATATATACATATATAGATATATAGAGAGAGGAAGAGAGGAGCAACCATGGCTTTCTCAACAGTGGTATCGTCTTCCCAACTCTACCTCCCGAAAAGGGGTCCAATTTTACGACGAACGATTCGATGTTCATCTTCATCAGTTTCGAGTCTTTCGACAACCCAATTCGATCTTCGTACTTACTGGACGACTTTGATTGCAGAGATCAATCAGAAGCTTGATGAAGCAATACCAATTCAGTACCCACAACAGATCTACGAGGCCATGCGTTACTCCGTTCTCGCCAAAGGTGCCAAGCGGGCCCCACCGGTCATGTGCGTCGCCGCCTGCGAGCTCTTCGGCGGCAACCGCCTCGCCGCATTCCCCACCGCCTGTGCCCTAGAAATGGTCATTTTTCTTATCTCTTACCTACTCAATTAAAGGCCCTTTTTTATTTTTTAGTTTTTGTTGAAGAAAATATAATTGGTGATTGATTATATTTGATTCCTATAATTCTTTTTACATTGATTTGCTAGAATTAGACAAAAATAATAATAAAGATTCAACTTTTTGATTTATTTGATACATTAATTTTTGATCAATAAAAAATAATTGGGTCCTGGTCAATAAAAAGTTAAAAACATTGTAGGCGAATCTTTCTAAGAAATTCTTGCTAGAATCTTTGGCTTGATTGTGATAGGAAAACTACAATAACGTCTGAATCTGTAGTTCAAATTTATTATATCAAATAAAGCCCAATTTGATAAGTTGATTTGGTTGTTTTTCAATGACCCTACTGTGTTTATTTCAATATTTTAATTGCCAACTTGAATCTCTAAATTTGGCATATTGGACATATGTTTAAATGATACTGATGCATAGGCAACATAATTTGGTTTCCTTACCATTCCATTGTCTGGAAAAAAAAAATTTTTCCCGAAAATTCAAGGCAAACACTTTCTCAATATTGTCTCGAACACTCAAGCTTCCAAATCATACCATCTAAACTAATGCCCAGGCCATGGGTTATTGTATTGAATTTTCACTTCTTAGATTTCCCCGACCATTTGAATATCTTAGTGGTCAATGAAAAATTGTTATTTTCTATTATGAAGGGAATGGAAATTTGTTATTTTTTGTTACCAAGGAAAATGGAGACTTTTTATTGGCTGAAAGTAATTACATGGTAGGTACAAGAGGGTATTGAATTTTTTTCCTATATTTTAAATGATACCTTGTGCATGGACAACATAATTAGGATTTCTTAGCATGCAATTGTCTTGACCTTTTTTTTTTTTTTCTTTCCCTTTGTGAAAGCCAACACATATCTACAATATTGTTTGCTCGAATGTTGAACCTTTTTTTGAGAAAAAAATCATAACATCTGAGCTAATGTCCTTGGTGATTGCCTTGAATTTTCACTACTTTGATTCCTCATACAATTTGAATATCCAAATTAGTCATCCTGTAAATATAAGCATGTGTATGTATTGGAGTCATGTCTGTCTTGAATTTTTACTACTTGGATTGTTCTAATAAATTGCCTCGATAGTCCTAATATATTGTAATTGGTGATGAAAATGATCTCTTTATTTGATTTCTTTACTCAACAGGTTCATGCGGCTTCACTGATACACGACGACCTGCCATGCATGGACGACGACCCATCACGGCGAGGCCAACCCTCCAACCACACAATGTTCGGCGTCGACATGGCGATTCTCGCCGGTGACGCTTTATTCCCGCTCGGCTTCCGTCACATCGTCTCTCAGACGCCCCCTGACCTCGTCCCCGAACCCCGTGTTCTCCGCATCATTGCCGAGATTGCCCGAGCCGTGGGGTCCACCGGCATGGCCGCCGGCCAGTTCCTCGACCTCGAGGGTGGGCCCAATTCCGTCGAATTCGTCCAAGAAAAGAAGTTTGGTGAGATGGGTCAGTGCTCCGCCGTATGCGGCGGTCTGTTGGCTGGTGCCGGAGACGATGAGATCCAACGGCTGAGAAGGTACGGGCGGTCTGTTGGGGTTCTGTATCAGGTGGTTGATGATTTACTGGAAGAGAAAATGAAGATTGAGAGAGAAGAGAAAGATGAGGAGAAGAGAAAGAAGGGAAAGAGCTATGTGAAAGTGTATGGCGTGGAAAAGGCAATGGAAGTTGCTGAGGATCTTAGAGCACAGGCTAAGAGAGAGTTGGATGGTTTTGAGAAGTATGGTGAGAGGGTGCTCCCACTCTACAGCTTTGTAGATTATGCTGCTGATAGAGGCTTTGGTGTTGGTGATCAAGTCTGATTGATGCATTCTAGGTCGTTTGATTTTAGTGTTTTTATTTTTTTGATAATTGAAACTTCAAGCGAGTGTGGCCTAAGTCTTCAAATCTCAACCTCAATTTGGAGAGGTGAAGGTTTAGGTATTATGCCTCTTTAGCAAAGCAAAGTTATGAGATTGCAATGGTAATTGATTCTGTGTAATTTTGGATTATAGTCGCTTGAATCATAGAGTTCCAATTAAACTGTGGAGAGGCAATTTGTAGTGGTGATAAAATAAGAGAGAGTAGATTTAAGTGATACAGACATGTACAACAAAAGGCTCATACATGAACTAGTAAGAAAAAGAATACAAGTTTGTATACAAATTCGTATATTCTGCGCACTTTCAGCCTTGTGTGTGAGGTTAAAAAATTCATGACCGGAGTATTCCAGATGCGTTACATTGTAAGTCATAATTTAACATATTTGACCAGTGAGGCCTGTGTCTGAAAATGTTGACATTGATCTCAATTCATGAGGCACAAGTTTTACATGTTATCGTCTATTGATTTTTTTTTAACATGAATCCTTTAACTAAAATTTTTTAATTTCAAATTTAAAACACATATGTTACTTCCAAATAAAAAGAATTTCAAGGAAAAGGAAAAGGAAAAGGAAAAGGAGGAACGTCATGGAGATAAAAGCAAGAAAAGGCTTGTTTAAAAAAATAATAATAATAAATAAAATTAAAAAAATTTGTCAATAATCATTAGGAAATAATAGTGTAATAAAAAGATAGTATCGTATGTTCATTGAAGATAACAGAAGATATGAATCCTTGCACCAACTCCCTTATGCTAAGTTCCTGACCCCTTTCTTTTTCATCATCACTTTTCTCATTTTAATTTTCAAAACCAAACATAAATTGACATCTTCTTCTTTATTTCTTTTTCCTCCTAACACCTTACTAGTCTAAAAATATATATATATATATATAATGTCTATATAATATGTATTAACAGAGGAAAAAAATAATAATTAACCCACTTTTATTTGGGTCAAACCAGATCGACAAACTCATAAATTATTATTATAAAGGTAAGCAAGAAGAATTTTTTTTTTTTTTTTTTTTTTTTTTTTTTTTTTTTTTTTTTTTTTTTTCGAAAGATAGGAATTTTGATTGTTAGCCCATCAGATCTATTCGTCTCCTTCATCTATCGGTAAACAAACCCACGTCAGTACCTCACGGTTGCCGGGCAAGGCAAGTATATCCCTTTTATCCCAGCAGGCAAAGCACAGAGACCTTCTTCCGGTCAAACCATATTTCCGCTAGAGAGAGAAAGAGATAGAGCTAGAGTGAGAAAGAGAGAGATAATGGCAAAGTCCGAAACGAACTTACGGCACCTAGATCTCCTTCCCTCGGCTCTCCTGGCGACCATCGTGATGAAGCTCGATGTCCCATCCATCCGCTCCGTCGCATCCACATGCAAGTCCTTCAGGACCTGCGCTTCTCAAATCCTTTCATTCCTCCCCAATTTCCACCTCCTCGTAAGCCCACAAATATATATGCTTTTACATATAAAACGTATTACATAGCTTCAGTTCTATCTGATTCACTCACTTTTGGTGGATCTCTACTTTGTTTGCAGGACGTCGCGCTCTCAATCGATTTGTTGAGGCCTTTGTTGCCTCCAAACCCTTACCTAGGAAGCCTCATGGTCGATTGTACTCGCCTCGATGATTCCGCCATTGATTCTCTCCTTCGCCCTTCTTTGCACGAGCTTTCCCTTCACAATTGCGCCGATTTCAGCGGCAAGCTTCTTTCTGAGATTGGAGTTAGATGCAACGACTTAAGGTTTGTTCTCTATCTCTGTCTAAAAAAAAATTCCTTTTCGAAGTTCTTCTATCATAAATTTCTGTACTTTTGTGTGTCTGTGTGCTTTTAAATGCATCTTTATGTGTTCGTCATTAATTAGAAAAATATTGATTTGCTATGTGAATCTTTCCCTTTTTGACTGTGATTTTGATGTTCTCAACTTGAATTTTGAATTTATGTAATACTTGATTTGTAACTGGATCCTTGAATTATGAATTTGTGTAATACTTGATCTGTAACTTTCATCCTATATCAAGTGATACTTTTATTAGCTTTGCCCTTTTACTTTTCTTCAGGTCTCTATACTTGAGTACAGTTGCAGAAAAAAGAGGACGATCACTTCTTGTTTCTGATCTAGAGGCGTTGCTAAGTGGTTGCACTGAATTAGAAGTAAGGCTTTTTATTGCTAATGTGGTTTGTTGCAAATTGAACTTAAACTACTTAAGAATTAGTTTTAATAAGAGTTTTAATGACAATGGAATTGATTGATAGGGATCCCCTTTTAATTTACAGTTATGCAATTTGAGTTCATGGGATTGGAGAAAGATGTTAATTACATCAATCTTCCATATTTTGGGGTTATTTGTTTTTTTTTAAAAGGAAAAACAAATGGAACTTTATGGCTAAAAGAGTCTAGTCTTTGTATTGTGTTAGCCACATACGCAATTATTTATTCTAATCCGTCATGACAAGTTACTTCGGGATTTTCAAGGAGGGTGTTATTTGTTGGTCCAAGAGGGAAGTGCCGACTCGAAATGGTGTTGCGGGGATTTTGTCATGGAGATGTACATAGAACATGAGTAATTCTTTGGGAAGTCATTCTAGGTCTCACATGTGTGACAAGTTACAGATAGAAATTTCACTACCAAAACAAGGCTCCTTTTAGTCTCTAGAGAAAAGCCCACTTGATGACCATGGGATGGTCTCCCTCTCCTTCATCTCTCCTCTCTTTACTCATCCTCTAATATTCTCACCCTTCTTTTTGGCCTTTCCACTGTGATGTGTAAACTTATATCACGAACCACCTCCTACAATCTTATATTATATACTAGAATTAGGAGTAGGGGCCATTGCTTGGTCGAATGGTAAAAGATCGAACTATCAAGTGCAAGTAAGCATTTAGCACCCGGTAATGGCAAGCACAACATTGGATTTGTATTTATTAGGAAAGTAGGAGTGACATTTAGGGAACCCATGATACAATTCATGAGCTACTACGTCGGAGATTTCGCTCATCACTCAGGGATATATATATAGATATATACACAAAGTTTTGGAGTGTACTCAATGTTGTTAATCTTGGTGCACCCAGACTCGCGCCTTGGCGCACCTAGGCTCGAGGCTCAGGTTTAGCGCCTGTTGTCATCCCAGGCTCACTGATATTTGCTAGACGCACGCCTCGGTTGCGCCTCGTCCTGTTTGTGAGGCTTGCCTCACTGATATTTGTTTTAAAAAATACGATTGTTCTATTTCTTAAGTCAAAAAGGGTATTTTTAGCAACTTAATAAACAAAAAAGAAAGCCCAAGCATACGATAGAAGGAATTTTGTACAAAAGAATAAAAAAATAAGAAAGTCCAAGAGTCAAAATGTTAACCGAACATCGATAGAATGAAATTGTGAGACGAAGATGAAGCCCTAGTTGCAGAGATGAACGACGAAACCACGTCAGTTCTTTCTTTCTTTCTTTTTTCTCTTCTCCTCTAGATCTCCCCTCTTTTCTTATCTTTGTTTACATCTCTCTCTTCGTCTAATTTTCTTCTCTATGTGTCTTTTTTTTTTTTCTTGGCTCTATTTTTTCTTTTTCTTTTTCTTGTTAACATTTTTTTTTTTTTTTTTTTGTTAACATATTTATTTCTTTTTGTGCTTTGTTTTGCCAATCAAAGAAAACACATTTTGCTTTGCCTTACAAGAAAACTAATTTGTGCTCTGTTTTATGGTTGTTGGATGCTTGTATAGTTGATGGATTTATTTTTTTATATTTGATATTAATTTTTAGAACTAATTATCATTATTGCAGTTCCTTATCTTAATATACTTCTATTTGCATATGGATAGTCAAAGAATTAATGATAAATACCAGAAAATGAAAAAAGAGGGTGAAAGAAATAATGAAGCAAGTTGTAAATTTTTTTCTCCAAAAGAAATAGCAAAAAGCTGAGAGGGATCACTAGCTGCCTAGCGGGGTAAGAGTTGGTAAAAAAAAAAAAAAAAAAAAAAAAAAGAACATGATACTATATTAAAATTTCATAAATTGCCCTATTATTTTGGTATTAAAGTAGTTAATATTTTCTGTTTTTAAAAAGGGGCAATGCATGCTAATGTTACAAAAACACCCATTGACTTCAGGCCTCTTGGGGAGCTCAAAACTACACATTGCCATATTAAGCTAATAGACCATGCCAGCACCATCATCACTCAATTAGCCAAGAGACACCATCACCTAAGTAACTTTATTTCGCTTGAGTAACTTGATGACATTAATACAAGACTACCACCTTGTTACAGAAACCAATTTCTCTTCACATTTATTGGTTTCAAACAACACTAAGGTACTTGTATAGCCAATCATGAGTAAATAGGATTAATGGATTACGGCTCCGTTCAGTGAATTACGGCTCTGTTCAGTTGATCTAGATGCATTTGCATAAATATTCAGAATAGCATATAGTCTCAGTGGATTACGGTTCTGTTTTGTTGATCTAGATGCATTTGCATAAATATCCAGAATAGTATATAGTCTCAGTGGATTACGGTTCTGTTTAGTTGATCTAGATGCATTTGCATAAATATCCAGAATAGTATATAGTCTCAGTGGATTACAGTTCTGTTCAGTTGATCTAGATGCATTTGCATATATATCCATATTACTATATAGTCTTATGACCTTTCTTCTTTTACATATTACGACAGTGATTCTTAAATAAAGTGTAGTTAATTTGGCTGTAATATATAATGTTGATATTGAATGCTACTAAACCATTGGTGCAACATGTGTACTAAAAAAATCTAACCGTATTATGATTTGATGCATTGTTTCAGTTATTAAAGTTACTCATACACATTATCAAGTAGTCAATTTTCACCAGAGTTAGCCAGAGTTTCCTTACCAAAGTCTAGTGCCAAGCTTGTTATTCTAACAGACGAGTAACTAACCACTAAGCTAAGTAATGCTTTTGCCATAACCACTGAGACAACGAGATAGATGTGATTTTGGTTAAGTACGCCACCACCCACCACCATCCTCTCCAGCAATAAATTCCAGAGAACCACCACCATAACAGTGATGAGACGCAAATTAACTTGCTCTCCATCTTCAAAACCGCCACCACCACACCTCGACCACCACCCACCGGCGAACCACCAACATCAATTTGGACATATACCAAAATATTCAACAGATCCACAAAATTAAATCTAAACCCAAAATGAGAACAAGTAGACGTATATTCACTGGGTATCATTACTCCACAACCCAGAATAAGAACATGTAGACATATATTCACTGGGTATCATTACTCAATCAGTAAACACTAAGCAGATCACGAGCTTCATGACTGATTTAGGTTTTGTTTGTTGAAATTTTATTAGCTAGGGTTTTCTGATTTGCTAAATTAAATTTGATTTAATCTATCTGGGTTGCTATTATTTGTGCAATTTGGTGAAATGATGCAATCTGCATGTTTGGATACTCTCAATCCGTAAAGACTAAGCAGATCACAAGCTTCATGATTGATTTAGGGTTTGTTTGTTGAAAGTTAATTAGCTAGGGTTTGTTGATTTGCTAAATTTAAATTGGTTTGATCTATTTGGATTTTTATTATTTCTGCAATTTGGTGAAAGTGATTCAATGCTGCATGTTTGGAAACTTAATCAGTAAACACTAAACAAATCATGAGCTTCATGACTGATTTATCTTTGTTTAATAGTATAATTGAAGTTTTGGATTTGAACCCGTGTTCACAAATTTTTTATTTTTTAAATATTTACTGATTATATGGTGCTGGATTATGCTGGCTAGTCAAATATAATTGCAATAGTTTGGATTTAATAGAGTTACTTGGTTAAATTGAAATTCAAATCTTTGGATTTTATATATGTATGTAAGTACTTTGAACAAAAAAAATTTGGTTATAGATAAACATACATGCCTGTGCAAGTATACACACACATACTTGTATATAAAGCATAATTGGCAGTAATTTGGGCAATTTAAAGCTATCCTTCTCCACCATTTGAGGAAAAGAGAATGTATGTTGCAATTTGAAGCTGTCAATTCCAATCTTCCACCTTCGTATCATCAGGCATTGATAGTAAACATCATCTCCCAAGTGACGAGGAGTTATCCAAATGTCATCAACCCAGGATATGGCCTGAATTGGTAGGAGGCAGAGAGAGGAGAGAGAAAACGAAGAGGAGAGAGAAATAATATATGGTAGGGATAAGTGTATTATGGGCATTTAACTTGATTAAGTGGATGACATTAGCAAAATCCGTCGTTGACTGGCGTTGACCGTAACGGAAGGGAGGTCCGTGTAGGGTAGTTTCATTTTGAGGGGAGGTCCATGTAAATTCTCAAACCAGAGGGGAGGTTCCTGTAATTATGGCAAACCATAGGGGAGGTCCATATATTTTGCCCTTTTTAAAATCTTTGTTGCTCTCTTAAAATTTTACTCTGATTCATGTACATTGGATGATTGAAAATATATGGGAAGCTGTCCAAAAGTTAGGGAAATTTTTCTGGTGGATTTCCTTCCAGATCTTCTGAATGAAACACTAACTATTGATCCACATTCTTGTGCATATTAATTATTACATGTATAATATGCCATATGTCAAAGTGATACACAGGTTTTCTATTTTGAATGCACATCAAAAGTTATAACTGTGCCATATTACTGAAGTTCTAAATTCACATGGCAGGTGCCTTGGTTTTCATCTAACCCATAGATGCTTCACATTCATTCTTTCTGCAAATTTTTAGAAATTTAGAAATTTATCTTTTGCAAGTTTTTTAAGACCTGTTGAGTTTTGTTTTCCAGAGCCTGATCCTGATGTTTGATGTCTCGATATTTCTTCGTCATAATTTTGCTCGTGCATGGGCGTTGGCTTCCTCGAAACTTACTTCTCTTGAGATTGGGTACATATCCTCTGTAATGGTGACAGAATTGTTAAGCCCCACTGTTGGGCCCCATCAGTCACCAAAGCATATTCGTCCATCCATATTGCCAAGTATTCGAAAATTGTGCCTTTCAGTAGATTATATTACTGATACTATGGTCAGTACAATATCAAGAAGTCTCAACTCCTTGACCCATTTGGATCTTCGGGATGCACCCATTATAGAACCAACAGTTACATTTGACCTCACCGATTCTGGCCTTCAACAGATCAATCCACATGGGAAATTGAAACATCTTTCCTTAGTCCGAAGCCAGGAGTTTGTCCCTACCTATTTTAAGCGAGTTAATGATCTTGGGATCCTCCTAATGGCTGACAGATGCTCGAGTATGGAAAGTATATGTCTTGGTGGCTTCTGTCGGGTTACAGATACAGGTTTCAAAACAATCTTGCATTCTTGCTCGAGCTTATACATGCTTAGAGTATCCCATGGGACCCAACTAACTGATCTGGTATTTCTCGACATCTCTGCGACTTCCCTTTCCCTGACACATGTTAGCTTAAGATGGTGTAATCTCTTGACAGACCACGCAGTCATGCGTTTGGCATCAAACATGGATCTTAGTGTTCTCGATTTAAGGGATTGTAGGAACCTTGGAGATGAAGCCCTCAGAGCCATCAGCACTCTTCCTAAGTTAAAGACACTACTATTAGACGGTTCTAATATAAGTGATGTGGGTTTGTCATACTTAAAACACGGGGTGATAAGTTCGCTAGTTTCAATGTCCCTTAGAGGTTGCAAGAGACTCACAGACAAGTGCATCTCTTTTCTATTTGATGGCTCTTTTACAAAGGAGCTGCAAGAACTGGACCTATCAAATCTTCCAAATCTCTCTGATGCTGGTATCTTGTTACTTGCAAAAAGTCGGGTCCCAATTATTGAACTTCGAATGCGACAATGTCCACTTATAGGTGACACTTCTATCATGGCATTAGCCTCAATGCAGGTTGAGAGGGATGGATGGCGTGGAAGTACCTTGCGGATGTTGGATCTTTACAACTGTGGCGGCATTACTCAACTTTCATTCAGGTGGTTGAAAAAGCCGTACTTTCCAAGGCTGAGATGGTTGGGAGTGACGGGAAGTGTGAATCGAGACATGGTAGATGCTTTGGCCAGAAGTAGACCATTCTTGCATGTGGCTTGTCGTGGGGAAGAGCTGGGGACCGACCAATGGGATAACTCCGATGATCTCTACATGCATGACTATGAAGAAGTGGATGAACTTGAGCAATGGCTTCTTGAAGGAGATATCGGCAGTGATGATGAGGAGATGGAGGAAGCTGAAGTTAATGCAGAGATGGTAGAATAATTTGCTCTATATTAATATTTATGTGGTTCTCTCTGGTGTTTTATTGTTTCACTGCTGCTTGTCTGTATTATAAATAATGTGATTCTTAATTGCTGAGTCGTGAATTTATCAGTGTGAACTTCCATGTACATCAGCGGTTTGTTGTATCTTTTTCTTTCTTTCGGTTAGTCTGTTTCGCTGTATCAACTGGCAACTAAGGTTTATCTTGTAAATTTCTAAGCACAATTACTAATGCAGGTTTACTAATCAAAAAAATTACTAATGAGGGTTTTAATTTTACAATCTATGGATCATTGCAGAGGATTTCTTGTGGCTCTCAAGGTGGATTTTGTTGGGGTTGGTGTTTGTGTTGGGCCTGCTGGCTGATTAACCTTGTGGCTTGTGGAACGTTATTAAGATGTAGTCCTTATTTTCATGTGAAAATTACTATCTAAGTCTTACTTTTCTCAATAGTCCTACTTTTCTCAATAGTGGAATTGATGTATAATCAATTTCTTTTTATATATGGTTCTTTTAAGTTTAAGTTATTTGATAAAAATTCTGGGATAGAATACATGATTTTATATTTTGACCTTTTCACTTATCAAAAAAAAAAAAATTTGATGTTAGTATAAAAAAAATTATTATTATATAAAATAAAAAAAAATTCAATAAAATGTAATTTTTTTTCTTTGTTGAATTTTCTTTATTTTATTCAAATTTTGTGTCTAATTTTGTGGAGGTAATATATATGAAAGTTTGCTTTTATATTTAGCAAAATTAGATATATGAAAATTTACTTTTATATTTAATTTAGCAAGAGTGTATATAACACTATCACAGTCACATTTTTTTATTATTTATCACACGTCACAGTTATATTAAGGTCATCTTGAGTTGCCCTTGAAGGTTTTGTCATTTCAATTATTAAAAAACAAAGTGGTAAAATTGAAAATTTTAAAATAAAATTACTAAACACTTTCTCACTTCTCTCTCAAATTTTACCGCTTCATACTACGGTGGCATCGTTGTAATTAAAAACCAAACTCGGGTCTTTTCTGTTCATAAGCAAACTGAATAGACCAAAACCCCTTGAATTCCTAACAAAATCGCGCGGAAGCGCGGGAGATTGTTACGGTCTTGGTGGCTACCTTTTCTCCGTTCCATTTTCAAATTACGTTCTCACTGGCACTGCAAATCTAAAGCCTTTTCAATGGCGATTTCCGTACACGCGTCCACCATGCATATACATACACTCACTATATATACGAACACATACCACATTTTCTTTCCTACTCCATACTCTACCATCTTTCTTTCTTTCTTTCTTTCTTTCTTTAATGGACTTCTCGTCTTCGATGAAGAAATCATTCAGATCTCATGGCTCTTACAACCACTCAAGAAAGATCTCTGCTGGTGGTGGAGACGATATACACCACGAAGAACAGCCAATTCTTTCCGATCACGAGGATAAGACCGTCACAGTCGATCTTGACGACCGCCAGGAGGTTATCGTGAAGATTGACGGCGGAGATCAGGTGGAACCAACTGCAAGTGGCCGTAAGATTTGGCGGGAGTCTAGTTATGAGTTCTGGAAAGATGGTGACGGAGGTGAGGATGACGATGGCGAGGGTTTTCAATTTCAGCGGCAGAGGGGGGTGGTGGAGGATCCTCCATCAAAGCTGATTGAGCAGTTCTTGAGTAAGCAGAGAGAGGCTGGAGGTGATACTTTATTGGATATGGATTTTGAGATGGATATGGATGAGCTCAATCGAAATAGTTGCACTCGCAATTCACCTCCTCTTCCCGAGAGTCCGATTGATAAAAACCCTAGCGATCACAGAGTTTCGAATTCAAAAGAGGTAAAGGTCTCGTTTCAAGAACTTTCCTCCAATTTGGTCGATATAGAGTCGGAACATTTGGAAAAGCAATGTAAAGAATCGTCTGATGAGGATGAGCACAAAAAAGGAACTCAATGTGATGGAGAGGTTTTGAGGTGTACCTCATTCAAGCGGAGGCCGACTATGATGAGGATGAAGACGAGATCGAGATTGATAGACCAGCCGGAACACCCGGATCCGAGATCTGGGAGAATGGGGAAATCGGGTCAGTTGAGGTCTGGGATGATAGGGAAGGCCTCTGGAATGGTGGGGAAACAGACGGATGAGGAAGAAGAGGACCCATTGTTTGATGAGGATATTCCTGAAGAGTATAAGAGGGCAAATCTCAGTGCTGTCACTCTGCTTCAATGGGTCAGTCTTGTATTCATTGTGGCGGGTTTGTCTTGTGCTCTTTCAATTCCAAGATTGAAGGGTCAGAAACTTTTGGGGCTCCAATTGTGGAAATGGGAGGTCTTGGTTCTAGTTTTGATATGTGGTAGATTGGTTTCTGGTTGGGGGATTAGAATTGTTGTTTTCTTTGTTGAGAGGAATTTTCTTCTGCGAAAAAGGGTATTGTATTTTGTGTATGGAGTGAGAAAGGCCGTTCAGAATTGTATTTGGTTGGGTTTGGTTTTGATTGCTTGGCATTCAATATTTGATGAGAAGGTGGAGAGGGAGACCAAGAGTAAGTTCCTTCAATATGTGAATAAGATATTGTTGTGCCTATTGATGGGTACATTGTTCTGGCTTGTGAAGACTCTCATGGTTAAGGTTCTTGCGTCTTCGTTCCATGTGAGCACTTTCTTTGATCGAATTCAGGAGTCACTGTTTAATCAATACGTAATCGAGACACTATCAGGTCCTCCTTTAGTTGAAATACAGAACACTAGGGAAGAAGAGGAGAGGACAATAGTTGAGATTAGGAAGCTTCAGAGTGCCGGGGTCAATGTGCCCCCTGACCTCAGGGACACTGCCTTCCTGCCAAACAAGAGTGGGAGAGTTGTAGGGAGTGGGGGACTCCAGAAAACAAGCAGAGCAGCAAGCATAAGGTATTCTCAACCAACTCCAAAGAAGCAAGAAGAGGGGATATCAATTGATCTTTTGCATAGGCTGAATCCTAAGAATATCTCTGCCTGGAGTATGAAGAGGTTGATGAAAATAGTTCGGCATGGCTTCTTGACTACACTGGATGAGCAGATACTAGATTCGACACAGGACAATGAGTCTAATACACAGATTAGAAGTGAATTTGAGGCAAAAGTTGCCGCAAGGAAGATATTTCGAAATGTGGCAATGCATGGGTCCAAGTATGTTCTTATTTCCGTCATCAGTACTTTTGTTCATGTCCTCTTTCTGTTAAATTATGCCTACCTGCTGCATTCAATCCTACATTATGCATTTTATTTCCATAAGCTGATTAATTTTTTTTATTTTCTTTCATTCCTGCATTTCTTGGTATTTTCAGAACTTCAAGTGATATTGAGAAATTTTCAATTAAATCACATACCACGTTGTTTGTATAACTTCGTCTCAATTGAATTTTAGATAGAACCATGAAGGTCGTAGATGTGCAGAGTCCTGTTGAGGACAAGTACTATGCAACTGTTTGTGTATAGAGAGAGTGTCATCAAACTGCAAATTTGAACGAAAACACTAAAGAGCATCATGTAGTTAATATGGTGGTTTTGGAAGTGCTGAAGGAAATTTTGACAAAACGAGGTAAATGCGAAGGTCTCTTGATATTGTATTCTTCTATTTTTATTTTTTGAATTTATAAATGTGTAGTATCAAAACTTACATGCTTTCTTACATGATTTATTTAATGAGGAAGTACTTTAAATACTGGTAAAGATTCAATCTAAGATAAAGCAAAAAGAGTAATTACTGATGTTGGAGTACAAGTTAATATAGAAATTTAATATGCTAATTATTTTACAATATGATGTATTTTACGTTGTAATTTTAGCACTCCGCTTCAGAATTGTTCCTCTTCTTAGTCTTCATGAAGTTACCTACCAAAAACAAAAGCAGGTCTTCAAGCTTAACTGAGACTAGAGCACATATATGCAATGCAGTTGCGTCATCAGTATGAGGATTAAATGTTCATTTTCATATCCCTCTGGAAAGTTTCTTTCATTTTTCCACTGCACAGTCCTATCATATGTCATCATCACTATCATTCTTTTGAGCTACTAATAATCTTTTTGATGGTACCGTCATGAAGTCTTAAGCGTTTTCATTTATTTGTGTTTAATTTAAATTTTATTTCTTTTTCTGGCAGGTTCATTTACTTGGAAGACCTGATGCATTTCATGCAAGAAGATGAGGCTTTGAAGACTATAAGTCTCATGGGAGGATCGTCTGAAAGTAAAAAAATTAGCAAGTCATCCCTGAAGAATTGGGTGGTAAGATCTGGATAATAGGTTATTTTGTTGCTTATTTATTTATCCTGTCCAGCAATCAATACTGTCAAGCCCCAAGGTCTGCACCTGAACAAGTCCTGGGGTGATTATCGTAGCGCTGATTTCCTGCCAAAATGCGCAAATAACAATATGTCCCAATATTCACAAACAAATAAAATTATCATACGGAACATTTTAAAGGTAATTAAAAAAAATTATTCTAGATACAAGCATGTCTCTTATGACCCATTGCAAATAAAATATTATACTTCCAGATAAAACAGTTCTTCAAGCTAGTCTTCTATATATAACAAAACCACTGCTAGAGTCTCAACATAGATGTCATTCTCACTTCAAATGCTTTCCTACAAAGCCCATATTACACTATTGTCAAAATGGCAGTAGGAATTTTACAAATGCAATAGCTACACAAGTTGCCATCTAACTATACATAGTTGATTGAGTGAAGCTGAAACTGATACAATAAACAAAATATTCTCAAATGCTAAAGAGGACATTGCACAATGAATACCATGGAAGGAATTTCGTACCCATTACAGAATGTGACATTCTATAAAAAAATGGGAGTATATGCAGGGCTGCGAACAGATTTGATTTAAACCATTGATCCAATATGAATCAACCTAACATGTAGGCTATTAAAGTTGGGTTTTATTGCTTAATTTGGGTTAAGCCTAGTTATTATTGGGGTTTGTTTTAGGTGAGCTCATTTTGTAAAATTGAACCAATCGAAGTCGTTCCTATACTGTTCGAATTGGTTCAATTTAGGTGGTTCCATCAGTCCGATTCCATTTTCAGGTAACCATTAGAGCATCTAGGGTGGGAGCAAAAGTAGAGAGAGAGAGACGGTATGCGTGAAAAGTGGAGGCCCAAATAAGTGGGCCCACCTGTGGTAATCTACTCAATTGTCCACAGTTGGACAATCAGATAGATAATATCTATCTTGCTAATACAATATTTTAGTCTCTTTTGTAGTGTTTTTGGTCACTTTTTGTAGGCATCAACATCAACTATACCATTTGTATATAAATCACTCAAACAAATAATAATAAAATAATAAGTTAATAATGAGAAAATAATGTTCCACATCAGCTTTTTTTATGAAATAATGCTGATGTGGCACTCTACTTTTATAAAAGTAGATAGAGTATGTGTGTGATCCACACCAGATGCTCTTAGGATCAATGGTTATGGTTCACCCTCTAAACCAAATTAAACTTCATCTAAGCTATATGTTGTGTCCCTTGCCATATAATATACAGCAGCAGTTTAGAGTTCTTTTTATATGGTGAAAATGCATGTTGATATGATATTGACAATAAATGGAAAATGCAATATAAACACGATGACTTGCTGCAATTATGTCTAAATATGTGTTCTTACTTCTTACTCATGACTGGCCTATATTGTAGTTTCTAATTTGTCAGTTTTTAATGATTGGCACAATAGATATCAGGTGTCGGATGCTGCATGAAAATTTAGTTGTTTCATATTAATTTGTAGCGAACCAAGTGTAATTGACTCTGTTATTTTCTTGGGAAAAAAAAAGAAGAAGTTCAAATGAGTCTGTTTTCTGTACCAACTGGGGAGAAAAAATAGAAAATAAAAATAGTCTGTTTCTTTTAAATGGAATGTGGACAATTTATATCTATATTTATCTTGTAATTAAGGTGTCCCTTACCTTGCTGGTAAGGACTTAGGTAGTTGTGCCATGGACCTGGGATTATCCTTCCATCAGTTGGGAGGATTTATGTGTATCGAGGAGGGTATCCTCTCTTGCGTATTTCATGGTTGACTTCAGACCAGGAAAAAAAAAGTATATTTCTCGGTCCTTGTTAAGAATGCGACTGAATCCACTTTTAATAAACCACCTCATCCCCTCTCTCAAACACACACACAATAAATATCAATATGGTAACTTTTAGATGTTTTCCTGAATGTTGAATTCTTAATTTAAGATTTTGCATATGCATCTTACAGACTTGCGGACAAGAATTACTAGACTTAACATGCAATGTGTTTTATTTGACAAACCAATATATATGGTAATATGTTACACCTGATTCTTGTCAGGTAAATGCTTTTATAGAACGAAGAGCGCTTGCCTTGACACTGAATGACACAAAAACAGCTGTCAACAGACTTCATCAGATGGTGAATGTATTGGTTGGCATCATCGTAATGATTGTCTCACTTGTTATACTTGGAATAGCAACCAGCAAATTTCTTCTCTTTCTGAGCTCTCAGGTTGTTGTAGTGGCATTTGTATTTGGAAACACCTGCAAGACAATTTTTGAAGCTATCATCTTCTTATTTGTGATGCACCCATTTGATGTGGGTGATCGGTGTGAGATTGACCAGGTTCAGGTACCAACAATCATACTTCAACTTTTTTCTTGTCTTTGGGTGTTTCATCATCCATTCAAATTTCCACCTTTTGTGTTTGGGCATAATATAATTTAAACATGGTTCAGATGATTGTAGAAGAGATGAATATCTTAACTACCATCTTTCTGAGATATGACAACCAGAAGATCATATATCCAAATAGTACTCTTTCAACAAAACCCATCAGCAATTACTATCGTAGTCCAGACATGGGAGATTCGGTTGAATTCTGTGTACATATTGTAACTCCAGAAGAGAAAATTGCTATCATGAAGCAAAGAATAACAAGGTATGGGAACTCTCTCTCTCTTTTCCTCAAAATTCTTGCTCTTTATTTCTATATGCTGTCTTTAAGTTGTAAGGGCAGTTTCAATTATTTAACGGAGACATTATGAATTATACAAAAGTGACCGGCAAAAGCATGTTCCATTGTACACTGTAGTGGCGCTGCTTTTCCTATGATCATGCCTAAATGAAACCGACCATTTCACACTGATAAATGCCATTCCTTTGGGAGATCAGTTCCCGTGTCTACTTTTTCAAACATCGTTTGATCTCATATGGGCACAAAAGAAAAGGGGAAGGGGTGATTATTTGATCCGATAAAGAACTAGGTTTCTGCTTAGGAACACGGATAGATAGAAATTTTATGCAAGTATTAGTCTAGAAGAGGCAAGAAAGGCAACTGGCCAGCCATTTAATCAAGACAATATGCTGTTTGGCAATTTATCACTCCTCCAGCTCATGAAAGATTTAATCAAATTTTACATCACATAAAGCTTTCTATTCTAACATGCAGGTACAAAGATATATAACTTTTGAAATATGAGATCACGTTGAATTTACCTTGAGATTGACAATGTAGTTTCTCGATTATATTTGAGTTTAATCAATTATTTTCTTATGCCTGCAACTGCAGTTACGTGGATAGCAAGAAGGACCACTGGTATTCTCCACCGACTGTTGTGCTGATGAACCTGGATGAGTTAAACAAGCTGAAAATGGCAGTGTGGGTGAGGCATAAAATGAACCACCAAAACATGGCGGAGAGGTGGTCAAGGAGAGCCCTTTTGGTTGAAGAGATGGTTAAAATTTTCAAAGAACTTGACATTGAATACCGCTTGCTGCCACTTGACATCAACATCCGCAGCATGCCTCCCCTGAACTCCACCCAGCTTCCCCCTAACTGGAATGCTTCTAACAATTGAGCTAGAAGATGTATTAGTTAGTTCATCACTTGTGAGATGCATAAAACAAGTACCTTGGTGATGCTCAAGCATCCCTGAGGGCTATACAGATTGCAGGAAAGTCATGAAAACGAGGATTAAGAATTCTGTTTCCTCAATCTGCTCTCCTGCAGAAATTTTGTCTCTTTTTTCAGAAATTTTTTATATTTATTATATTAGTTTTCATTTAGCGGCTGATAATCAAATATGTACGAGCAGAGCATTGTTTTATCAGGATTTTTTATTCAGATTTGGTCACAGATTTTTTTTTATTTTTTTATGACTTGCTTATCAATTTTGGTTGAATTTATCTCATTTCCTTGTTGCAGGTCATGAGCATATCTAATTATCTATACCAAAGAACTATAAATAACACACTTATAATGGATTTGAGAGGATTCTATACCAGCACAACTAGTTTTCTTTTGAAATGGTTATTAATATATCAAAATTATGACTTATATAGTGTGTTATGTGTTTTAGAAATTTCCATATTGAACTTAGATTTTCATTAGATTCTACAATTTAGTACTTTCTCAGCGTCAGAATTTTGTAAAGATGTTACATATGTTTCTCATTACCTTTCAAGTTTTAAGTGTGAGGGCTTTGGATTGTTTCCAAATAAACACGTGTGAAAATTAAATTAGCTTCTTCTTATAGGGTGAGAAATTAATTTTCTTTACCTTTTGTATTTGTTTTGGTCCATAATCAAAGGTTGTTATTATATCATTGATTTGCTCAAAAGTATCCAAACTTTTTACCCAAGTAAGAAGACTTGAATTTTTTCATTTTTCTTATTATTATCAAAACACTCCCTCACCATTAAATTCTACTTTTGGAGAGTAGTAATACCCCATAAAAGTATATAGGCTTGTGTAAAACTATAATGCCATATAATATTTATTTTTTATGTGAAATATTTTGAAATTAAATAAAATAGTATAGTGCAGGATGAGGATATGGTCACGCAGCATTGGATCAATTTTAGTACTTTACAATCATTATGAGCTCAAAATACATAATGCAAATTTTTTTTTTATTGAGATGTAATGTTTTAAATTTCATATCAAGTATATACATAAAATAATTTTTACAAACAATAACCCAATTTTGATTTGAATATCACGACTCCTCATAAATAAGGTTTTGATTTTGATGAGATGATGATTAAACAACTTTAATCATGAGATAATAGGCTGGGTAGAATGTGGATTTTATTTGGTAGATTAATTAATTAGCACCTAAAACAGTCAAACTTCCTTTTGATTTTAAAATTCCCACTTTATATTCTTTCTTTTAATTATGATTATATGATCCAATGGTCACTGACCCCACGGTATAATCATGCCAGCCAAAATCAAGTACTGCGAATCAACGGCGTAGAAGTAAAATCCATATCAACGTTTGATCAATGCCACGTGTCCGGATAGTAATAGTGCCAAGCCCGTGACATTCAGAGGCAACCATGGTCCATATCCAGGGTGCAACTTCGTAAGCTACCGATTAAAGGAAAACGTCAATTACGTACGTGGGCGTTCCAAGTTGCTTCAAAGAGTTTACACAGTGGAACCTCCTTTTTATGTGTTCTATAGTCACTTCAAACAAAACAACTGTTAAGAGCCAATACCAATCTGTATGTCCATATTGTGGGGGCGAGAGGCACAAGGACAATCTCTTCTTTAACAACGGCAATCCTATAATTTCCTCTTTCAGTTTCAGATCGATCCGTAGAAGTAGTACAATTGGGAGAAGAAGATGAGAAAGAGGGCTAGAACAAGCCTCGACTCGGCGATTGTCGATGTCTGGAAACGAGAGGTCGGCGAGCTCTCCACCAGAAACTTTGCTCATCGTTTAGGCGCCTCTGAGGTCCCTTTTCTTCTTCGATTTACCCTAATTCTTATCCTTTTCTTTGTTAATCCTGTTCCTGTTATGATTTTTGTTTCTTTCATGGAATTTTATTACCTGTCTGCCTTGCATTGTTTTGTTTATTTTGCATATTTTCGTCTGTTTGATGTCTATTTACTTGTTCGCTGATCAATTTGATTCGTGTGACCAGTTTGAGTATGTTATTGATCTATTTGATGAGGTTGAGATGTAAGATTTAGTTTTGCGATTGATTTTTCGAAAAAAAAAAAAAAAAAAGATTTAGTTTTGCGATTGATGCTATTGATGCTAAGCTGATTTCCGTTGTTATTATATGTATAGACAGATGTACATATACATGAAATTAATTTTCCTGTAGTTTGGTGAATGTGGTTCAATGGTTGTCGGTTCTAGGACACACATATATATATATGGTTGAATTCACATATTCATGTAACCATTGTTCATTATTGATGTATAACAAAGGAGATTAATTTGGAATTCAGTGCTGGAAGTTTTTTATTTAGTTTGGGGTCCTTTCGTGTTCAATTTTGACTCTGCTAGAAAAGAATTGACAGTAGCTGGTGTGGTTCTTTATAATAAGACATTCTTTAATCTATCTTGGTCACTCTATGTTGTTAGCATAGAAAGTGGTAAACTGATGATTGCTCCCATGAGAACTCCGCTCTTTGTTTTTTTCTACAAATGTTTGCACATGGTCAAAGGATAAGTTGTGATGGTTTGGTTGGGATTGAATTTTCCTTTATTGGCTAGTGAAGGTCAATCCCAGAACCTTTATTTTTTTTTTTTGTTATTTCTCATTAACTGCAAATGAAGTTTTCTTAGTATCCAAAGTTTTAATTGATATTTTTCTGTTTCAGGATCTTGTGCTCCGCCTTGCTCTCTTGAGGAAGCTTGAAAAACACAGAGGTTGTGTGAACACGGTTAGCTTTAATGCAGATGGCGACATTCTTGTGTCAGGCTCTGATGACCGGAGAATTATTCTCTGGGATTGGGAAACTGGGAATGTTAAACTTTCATTTCATTCCGGTCATGGCAACAATGTTTTCCAAGCAAAGATAATGCCCTACACAGAGGACCGGAGCATTGTTACCTGTGCTGCTGATGGGCAGGTAATGCATTTTCTTAAGTGCCTATGTAGGATACCATGACCTCAAGCAACGTTATTTATTTTGAATTTGGCACCACCTGGTAACAGAATGAATGTGGAAGATCTCCAAGGTGAAAAAGTATGTTGTTGCTTAAACCAACCATTTCATAGAATGCTATTTTCGAACATCAGTGCCAGGTTCAATGGTTTAACACTTGAACATCAGTACTATTGGTGCGAGTTCGAATCTTAGAGCATCCACTTTGTAAATCAAATGTTAGGCTTGTCTTGAGTCCTTTCTTACCAGGACCCTGATGTAGAAGGACTAGAACTGGGTAATTTTCCTTTTTATATTTTCTTTGCATATACCAAAATATATCAAAGTTTAAAGGGACAAAAGTGGTCATTCATCCTCAGAAATGAATGCTCTTGTGATAAAGTGGATTATATTCATGATTGTTAGAGGCAATCAATTTTAGCTCAAATGTTCGTTATGTTCAAGGAAGAAAGAAAAAAAAAATTCTTACTCTTTTTTGTGTTTTCAGAATTATGATACAGGCAGTATTTTATGAAATGCGGTAATAAAATATTTTGTTCTTAATGAGACTCTGCTCGATTTTAGGTAAGGCATGCTGAGATTCTAGAAAGCGGGAAAGTGGAGACTAAATTACTTGCAAAACATCAAGGACGAGCTCATAAGATGGCCATTGAACCAGGAAGCCCTCATATTTTTTATACTTGTGGTGAGGACGGATTGGTACAGCATGTGAGTCATGTTCATCTTTCTAAAATTGTTTTTTTTTTTTTTTACACTTTATATATGTTTTTCATTATTTCTAGATAAAACTAAACCATTAATCAAAGCAAAAGAATGTGGTACATAATTTGCGTTGGTGGGACCCCATACGAGTCTCCTATTTGGAGGTCTCTTTGTTTGTCAATTAATTTTGTGTAATTGATTGATTTTTTCTCTCTTCTCTGTCCATATATTTTTTTTTTAACAAATTTTGACATTGTCATTTATTCTCACAGTTTGATCTGAGAACTGGAGCTTCAACGGAGCTCTTTACTTGCCATTCTAACAATAGCAAGAGTTATATGCAAATTGTTCATCTAAATGCAATTGCAATAGATCCAAGGAATCCTAATCTTTTTGCAGTTGCGGGGTCAGATGAGTATACGCGACTTTATGATATCCGCAAGTATAAGTGGGATAGTTCAACTGATTTTGGTCAGCCAACTGACTTTTTTTGCCCTCTTCATTTGATTGGTGATGAGCAAGTGGGAATAACAGGGTTGGCATTCTCAGATCAAAGCGAGCTTCTTGTATCTTATAATGATGAGTTTATCTATCTTTTTGCAAAAGATATGGGATTAGGACCAAATCCAGCTCCATCCTCTCCAGCATCTATGGTCCGTGAAGCAGATCATTCCGATATGGACACTGATGTCAAAGTTGGTCCTCAAGTCTACAAGGGCCACAGGAACTGTGAGACAGTGAAGGGTGTGAGTTTCTTTGGGCCTAAGAGCGAGTATGTTGTGAGTGGGTCAGATTGTGGCCGTATTTTCATATGGAAGAAGAAAAGTGGGGAGCTAATACGTGTTATGGAAGCAGATAAGCATGTTGTGAATTGTATTGAATCTCATCCTCACACCACTGTGCTTGCCAGCAGCGGAATTGAGAATGACATAAAGATGTGGACTCCAAACTCTATTGAGAGAGCTACTCTGCCAACAAACATTGAAAAGGTATGCTTTGTTATATTGAAGTAATTGTGGAAACTTTGAATTTTATTTATGGTATTGGTATTTCTGACCTTAATCCCTTGGCTGAAAACCTTGAATTTAATTGAGTAGAGGTATGTTATATCGATTCTGGTTCATGGACTGTGTTTGCGTGAAATTGGGTTTCTAAAAATTGGAAAGGACCAGCTTGTTTATATCATCTGGTCCTACTCTTCTGAGAATGTCTATATGAAAAATCAACCAGGTTATTAGCAAGGTTGTTAAAATCGTGATTCTAGATTGTAGAATCGCACGATTCTATGATCCTAGCACCCCAAGTCGATCTGAATCGCACATAAATCGCATCTGTGGTAGAATCGTAGGTAGAATCATAGATTCAGTTTTTTTTTCATGGTTGATTGTGATTTTTCAGTGAATATAGGGGGATGAGTTATCTGGGCTTGTTGTTCTGTTTCTAACTTTTGGTTCTTGACTTCTTGGTTTTAATTTTCTTTAGTTTTGACCTAATAAATTGTTACTTGGCATTAGACTATTTACTAGTACTTCATTTTTAATGTTCATATAATGAAAAATTGTTCATTCATTCCTTTAATACAATGCAGATATTTTTTATAGACAAAAACAGGGGTTTCTATAACCCAATTTTTAAATAAATAATGTTAGCTACGAGTTTATTATTATTATTATTATTATTATTTTGGATTTACTTTTTAACATTGGTTGATTCCTCTTGGACCTAATACCTAGCATCTATTGCAAGTTAGTATTGTCTCTCATGATTCAAATCGAATTGATGTTGCATAATTGTCATGTGAGCTCTACCTTTTGAACTACATTCTCTCTAATATATATGTCTATCCCAAGATGTTTGTAACTATATTTGGATTGATACTTTTATACATTTTTTTTTTGTGTGTTTGGGATTATTCTTGCTATATTTTAAAGATATTATTGTTTAAGAAGTTAGTTTGAATTATTTTTCTACCAGATTGGTAGAATCTTACGATTCTCAATCCGATTCTACGGAGCCCCCAACGATCCTACGTAAAATCCCGATTCTAACAACCTTGGTTATTAGGTTAAGTTTGTAAACTAATAGAGTTAAGTTTCTGAATTACTTACCAGAAAGCAAGAGTAGTTTTTAGTTTGTAAAATGATTGGAAACCTATATTTCTATTTAATTTTAGCTTTCCGCATGAATGCATAAAACCTCGAAAGATCCTTATTGGGGTGCTGGGGGGAGGGAGCTGTCTTCTTGTTGTGGCAAGTTAATTTTTAACATTTTAAATTTTTTACACTTGCAGTGCAAATTTCAAACACTCTCCAATTCAAATCTTTTATACTTGATGTGTGATGAGTTGTTATATAATGTTGGTCTTGCAATGATACTGCTTCTCATGTTCCATCTGGGTCACCTTTTTCCCCTTTCGCAGTTGTATCTTGATCATGAGTTTGATACACCACATTACTTAAAGATTTCTTTAGATCTATGTTATCTGGACTTGGGTACCTCTGGGGATGTAACCAAGCGCTGGACATATCAGATTCCCAAACAAAAGGACAGAGTGGCACTATTTATTCATATTATCTTAAATTTCTATTTTATTTTATAGAAAAAAAAATTATATTTTACATTGGATTTAATATAGGCATTTCACTCGTTTTGAATCAAAATATATTATCTAGTTAAATAACTGTGGTATCAGTTAAATGTCCAACCAAAAGTGTCAAATACATATCACATACCCATGTTCGAATATTGTGTGCCTGACACAGGGACTTCAATTGCTTTTGACATACAACATAGCTTTAGATTACTGGTTTCTTTTGCCTGACACGGGGAATTTAATTGATTTTGACATACAGCATAGCTTTAGATTACTGGTTCCTTTTTTTTCTTTTCTTTGTTTCGTTTTTTCTAAACGAGAAAGAGATTATCTTTATTTATTTATTTTTTGTTTGTTTCTGGTGTACTTTTAACTTTAAAATGGTAGACCTTGTCGGCCGATTTAGGTGCTACCATTATTCCCAATCCCTTAGATTTGGCAGTGATGTCAGCAAATGTGGCATTCTGTAATAACATTGCTAAAGTATAGGCAGCGGAGGAAGTTCTAATTTCTCTGCCATTACTTTTCTGGATAAGGTTCTGATACCCGTTCAATTTAATTTCTTTCCCGTTGGTGATGATGAGGATGATGACTATTACTATGATGATGACGACGACGACGACCTTGATGATGACGACGACGATAGTGATGAGGATGAGGATGAGGATGGCGATGGCGATAGCGGTGATGATTCCTCTGATGATGATGGAGGTGATGATTTTTGTGATGAAAATGGTTGTGATGTTTCCTGCAATGGTGTCGATGATGATGGAGGTGATGGTTTTGATGATGTTGATTTTAACAATGATGACAGCGAATATGACAACTAAGATCCATAATTTTGTTGATAACAATTCCAACAATGCTGCGGATGATAATTTTATTGGTGGTGAATCTGGTGATGATGTTTATGCTGATGATTTTGAACTTTCTGTTTCCAGTTGAGACCCAAGGCAAGGGGCTGGATGTACCGAATGGCTTCACCACAAGACCTGATGCTGCAATTATTTTCACTTCAAAGGAGGAGGACAAGTCCAGAGCGTGAAGGAGAGAATTCGGCTGCAGGACGGGAACTGCTGGAGCTTATTTTGACATTTAATGCCAACAGTGACATTTCATCAGATGAGGGCGAAGATACCTCCAGTGCTGAAGACTGTATCAATGACTGATGTTGCTGCAGCTATTTGTGTTTTGAAAAACTTGAGTAACTGTACATAATATAGTGAATAAGTCCAGATCTTTACATGGGTTTGTTTTCTTTGCATTTTCTGAATCACTTTTGACAACATATTTATTAAATCTTTTATTCATTCATGAGCGTTTTCATCTGTCTTGGGTGTGCATATTTGACGATATATTTTATTGGTTGGTTCATATGGTAGAGTTCACCTTCTTTCCATCATGATTGGTTATTTCAATAGTAATATTGCTGGATGGAATATGATTTAGGGTTTTCAGTGTGCTAATAGTTATACCAACCGCTATGCTTTTGTATACTGCAATCAAGTTTAAGATTTTGCAATGAGTTTTCCTTGTCATTCTATCTCTGGAAAGCTTATTTCTCGTATTGAGCTTATGGGTTTTCCAAAATTTCTGCAGTAAGCTTATATATATTTGCTGGGGCAATAGAAATTTCTCTCTTACTTGCATAGGGATATGTATGTTTTTACGTGCATGGGAGAGTGGACTTTGGAGCAACGGTAAGGCTGCATCATTGTGATTGACACGCAATCCTACCTCCTTTAGAATCTTGTACTGACGGGTACACTGTTGCACTTTTTTTTTTTCTTTTTTTTTTTTAGGTTTTACGTGTACAAGGCCACTTTTTTTGTGTACAAGGAAAAACATGTGGAGTGGTGTTAGCTGTTTGTGGTGATTGGAACATTGACTCTGGGACTGAAAAATATTATTGTTCGATCCTTGTAGATATTTAGGAAAAAGCTGAATGATTTGAAATTGTTCGGTTGCTGAGAAAGTTTTGGATCTAGGGAATATCTACGCTTTAATATGATTAGGCCACGAACAAACAAAATATTCCTGTCAACTGAGCCTGATGCGACGATTCTTTTTTACTAGAATTGGCCTATTGTACCTTGGCCGTCTCCAATTTCCTGCAAAATTAACATAGAAGTTTCTTTTTCTTCCGTTTCCTCAGCAACCAAACCCTAAGAATGAAATGGTTCGACTTGTCTCGGTAATTTGGAACCCGTAGAGGGTTTTACTGAGCCAGTTGGACTTCAAGTCTTGCGTCTTACAGTTATTGAGCTTTGCGTGTATTTTTGACATTCCATGTCCGAATGACACTTGTAATAAATGTAATCATCCTAGTTTTGATATTGTAATAGGTTAATACATATAATTCCTAAGAAGATGACAGAAACAAAAAGATATTCAAATTTCTTGTTGCTGAGAAATATATTCTGGAAAAGTTTGGAAATTGTCATCTTTTGAATTTTGATTGATGTTTATATAAAGAAACTTCTTGTGTTTGAACTGTGAAAAAGCAAAATACCTATTCTTCTTTTTACGACATTTGATTCTCTCATCAACTTGATGTCGTATCAACTGTGTATAAATCTAATTTGACATCTATGGCTATGGCTACATAGGCCACGGTAAATCACAAAAATCCTGGGTAAGGACTGGATATGTTTTTATTTCAAGTAGCTATATATATCTTCTTATAATCATTTTGCATTGAGAGGGAGGACAGATGTTTTTGTTGTGGATATTGCTGTGCTGATGAACTCATCAACTGCTTGTGCGGATGATCCCTTATAGCCTTCTCCCTCTCTAATCGCGTCTTCCATCTTCTCCCTCATCTCCCGGGCCTTTCTTCTCATCTCCTCGCCTTTCCCGGTCTTGTTCATCACCATCTTTATCGCCTTTGCAATCCGATCGTGTCTGACAACTTCCAAGCTGTTTCCTCTTCCTACCTCAATGCACACTCCCACTTCCTTTTCCAGCATATGGGAATTGAAGAACTGCTCTCCAGCCAGTGGCCACCCAATTATCGGTATGCCTTCACACAAACTCTCCAGTATGGAGTTCCAACCACAATGGCTCAGAAATGCACCTATGGACTTGTGAGACAGAATTTCCTGCTGTGGTGCCCATTTGTGTATTACCATTCCTTGATTTGTTCGCCTAAGTCGTTCTTTGAATCCATCAGGCAACCATTCAGCTCTGAATTCTTCTGTAACGTCGAACCCTGTTGGTGATCTAGCAACCCAAATGAACGCTTTGCCGCTTGCTTCTAACCCTATGGCCAATTCTTTCGTTTGTGCAGCTGAGATACTGTTATGTGATCCGAAGGACACATAGAGAACTGAAGCTGGTGGGTAGAGATTGAGCCATTCAGTGTAACATCCATTGCTATTAGAAACTAGTTCCTTCTGATCATCTTTGATCATGGAAGAGGAGATTGGTCCAATAGTCCATATTGGTTTACCACCCAATTTTCTGCTAAAATATTTCACTCCCTTTTGTCCAAGCCCTTCTATGGTGTTTAACAAGATTGCATCAGAGCTCAAGCAAAGTGAAAATTGGCGCTTGCGAAAAAGGAACCATGAATCAGCAGCATCAGTGTATTTGAGGTCATTGGCTACTCTCGATTGATGTATCTTGAATGCTTCAGGAAAGTCCGGCAATGAGAATTCCTCATGATCATCGGTCTGCCAGAGACTGATGTCCATGGAAATGGAGAAGTAGAGGGCCATGCTGTAGCCAGCTCCGGCTATAAACACAGTGTGAAAGATTCCAAGCTCGTTGGCAACTTTAACCGTCCATCCCATGAACATATTGGAGATGATGCATATTGGTGCACGACCCTCGCGCTCACTCATTTTCACGAGGAGGCTCTTGAAGGGTGATTCGAGATTTTCCGAGGCTTCCAAGAGGCGAATCATGTGAATGAAAGACAGGGTATCGGTGTTTTCTGAATCCGGTGGGAGGCCGTGGTCAGTGCTGCAGAAAGGGATTTCAACGAGGCGTATGTTGGTGGCGGGAGGGAGTGATGATCTGAGCTTGCGGATGTTCAATGGGGTGTTGACAATGGTGATGGTTAAACCCTTCCTTTGCTCTATTTGTCTTGCCAGTGCCATGAAAGGGATGAGATGGCCTTGAGACATGAATGGGAACATCACAATGTTTCTTTGATTCCGAGTTTTGGTCATCTCTGAGTGGGGGAAATTTGGAACTCTACGCATTAGTCTCCTAAATACATGTATTTATTTGTAGTGTAATTAAATTAGTCTGCTATCAGTTCCAGAACTTACATAGGTGAAGAAAAAGGGTTCTTGTCAGCTAGTGTATAGATCCTAACTATTGGCATTTCAGAATAATATTGGCTTATTCTGATTATTGTCTTATTTTTGAATGGTTCGAACATAACACGAATTTACTTGTTTTAAATAAAGCGACAAGAGAGTTTAGTCCAAATGTACTAAATAACGGGACAAAACAGCGAGGAGTTTAGTACAAATGGTATCTCTTCTTTCTACATAAAATATAAAGCGGGCGAGTTTTTAATAGAACGGATAGAGTGTGCAGGAGAGAGAGACTTACCAACCAAAAAGCAGGGGCGGCTTGAGGGTGACGTAGGCGAGCGATGTAGGCCTCAGCTAATAAGAAGACCTCTTATATAAATTATAGGATTAATTGCAACAAACTCCCTAAACTATGAGACAATTGCAACAAGTTCCCTTAATTATGAGGCAGTTGCAAAAACCTCACTAAAGCACACGACGTTAAACAATTGTTAACAGAAAGTTGAAATTACCAATTTCTTCTTAAATTAAATGACATCGTTTTTTAACGCTATCCAACTTCCGTTGGTGACGGTGCAAATGTAATCCCAGTAGCCAATAAAAACTCGCCACATCGTAATCTTATCCAACTCATCTCATACCCAAGAAAAAGGGAGAAAAAAAAAAAAAACTCAACCTTAAACTCAACACACACACACACACATATTTATTCAAGTATGGTTATTTTGCGCCAGTTTGTTATGTTGTTCATTTCCTGATTTCCTATCCCAGTGAACTAAGCAAAGCCTAAAATCTTAATTAATTGTTAGTTTTGAATATAATACACACTAACGAGCAATATGAACACAATTGAATCATCCGTCACCTACAAGGTTGCAATACAAATCAATCACCTGCAATAACTCCATAACAGTTACATATATCCATGGCCAGCAATACAACCAATCACGATATGAGCATATAACTTCAAATGCATCCGTCACCAACAATTCAACCAATCACAATCCAAAAAATCAAACCCAAAAATAACCAAAAGCCCACTATTTTCCGGCTGGTTTCATCAGATAATTCGGTTGTCGAATAAAGGGTTTTAGAGACACAGCAATTTCTCCAATACCTGCAACAATGCCGATCGCACCATCTGATTGCCAAAGAGGAGACTATCGTAACCAAACCGTTGCGGTGAGATGGGTTGGGATTTTAGCTTTCTCAATTGAGAATTAATTGTTGGCAGAGCTGAAACAAATGGCCAAATTGCAGGTAGAGAGAGATTAGTTACGGCTTGTTTGGCCAAGCGAAGGTGGGAGGAGATATTCATATGGAGGGTTTGTACATAAGGGTCATTTTTGGCAATCTAAATTTGTGCCAAGTTAGTGTGTCTCACGTGCCTTGTTCCAACGTTAATTTTGGACGGCCAGTTAACGGTTTGGGTTTTTTGCAACAAATGGGATAGTGTAGGGAGTTAAGTGACAATCTGATAGTTCAAGGGGGTTTATTGAGAAAGAGAAGAAAGTTTAGAGGGGTTTAGTGCATTTAACCCTAAGTAATATTGCAATTGTTTCCTAACATTATTAAACACTAATTCCAATTAATTTATCTCCTAAATAACTTTTCATTTTTTCATTTCTCTCTTCTCATTATCATTCATGCTTTTTAATTAAATTTTAACCAAGTTTATCTCCTAAAATAACTTACCCTAACACGGGCCCAAATATTTATATTCTTAAATAATTTTCGGTAAATTGCACCGTAGTAAATATTAAAGATATTAGTCGTGGGGAAGTGAAGAAACTTTCAATATTCTCTTTTTCTAGTTTTTATTTTTTTTATTTATTTATTTTTCTTATTTCTCACATTCATTCTCTCATCTCTTAACAAACTCAAAAGTTACACTTGAATATAATCAAAATCTAACAAAAAGTTGATAAAATTATACCTACGATCAACTATGTTATAAAAAAAATTAAATGGATTGATTATATTATCTATTGAAAAAGATATTTTAATTGCACTTAAAAATAAGAATTTAATTCAAAAGGCAAGAAGGATGATTTTTAATTAATTATTATTTAATACTTAATATATTACATATTATGATATGAAAAGGCGACTTTTTTATTTTTTGCCCAAATCCGAATTACATCGAGCCACCCCCGCCAAAAAGAAAGACAAAAGTCACCCACTCTCTTGTAATTCTCTTGTAATATTTTCAAACTTAGGGAGAGTGTCCTCATATATATATTCATCCATGGTTCTTGCAATTGCAGTTGTGACTTATTGCACATTCCATGTTGGTTATATTGCTTTAATTTATATATAAAAATAGACATTTATCATCACAAGAAAGAGAGATAATTTCCTGCATCCAAAAAAAAAAAAAAAAAAAAGGATTAATAGCAGAAGAACCATTACCAAGGCGCAAGCTTTTTGGGGATAAAAATATTAGTTAATTACATGCGTGTCATGTATTTTAATCTCAATGAGTTTTATATTTATTAATTAATTACTAATTATATATGTTCCGGATAGCTGAGTGGTGACCAACGCCTCCTAATCTCTTTTCCAAGCGTGTCGCATGTTTATATTTATGGAATATATTATGCCCAATTAACTTCCAATATATGTATGTATATATATATTTATATATATATATACATATATATATATTCTTCTGTATCTAGGCTAACAGAGTGTTCATCTAATGTGGACTGAGAGATACAGCTAAAACAGCAACTAAAAGTGTGATAATATTTATATCATCATCATTCTTTCTTCATCCCACATGAATAGGTTCACTACGTGAATTTTGTCTTCAATCTTGTATAATATATCATTTCACTCAAAAACCATTTCTAACAAAGTCATTCGATGTTATTTTTGATCTCTTTCCCATTACCGATGCATATGTTCAAACCATTCTGTTGACCTTAAGGATTTCATCTAATAACAATCAAGATGTTTTGATGACAACAAACTATTAATGATATTTAAGGACTAATGTTCACATTGACTATTATAGATGGTTAACATTCAAAAAAGAACCTCAATGAAGATCATAAAGATCATTCCAAGTATTCTATTACTCAAGATCACATCAATGAAAGAAATAGATACAAAGAAGACTTCAAGTTACAAGGAAAGATAGCTTGGACTACAACGAGCAAGAAAGCAACTCTAAAAAGGAACAAAGCATGACTACCTCAAAGCCTACACGATCATGGACAAAACATGAAAAAAGGGGTAGATAGGATGGTGAGTGTTTAGGATTCAATGTCAATGTATTTATGAATCCATTTGAAGCTCATCTCTATAGGACCATGCATATTATATATCATTCATATGTTCCTATATCCATTAGCAATAGACTATGCACTTCATTCATATAATTGACACATGAAATCTTTGCTAAAAGAATGAGTTAGTTCAAGCTTGCATAAGCTTAGAAAGAACTCATCACTTGTGCTAGAAATACTAAGACTATGCACATCAATCATATAATTCCTATTGGTCAACAATTAAGGCATGAGAAGCCTTCATTACCATGAATTGGTAACGGACATTAGGACCCCAGAAAGCTCGTCATGAAAAACTGTGTTTTTGGCTAAGTGTGAAAAATAGATTTTTGAAATAATGATTATTTCAAAATAATTTTTTCCGGTAATAACTCTTTATACTTAAACTAGCCTAAACTGATTTTATTAGAATTTTTGATCAAGTCTACATTGGTCTACATAAGGATTCATTTTTACCGAAACTGTCGGAAATCTAAATTTGTACTAAAACTGAATTTCTACATTTTGATTTAGTTGGATTTCAATTTTCTAATATTTTTTATTAAATCCAAATGGGGGGTACTTCCTTATTTACATTGTAAACTTAAAGTAAATGGACATATAAATACTGTAAAGACATTTACTTAAATGTTTTTAGGCCGAGACTCATCAAAATCAAAATACAACTCAGCCGGCTCAATTGATAACTCAGCCGACTCCCTTCTCAATTCAGCCGACTTCCTTCTCAATTCAGCCGACTCAGTCAGGCCGAGGCTCTTCGCTTTCAAAATCTTGAAATTGCTCAACTCAGTCGACTCTATCGCTAACCAAGCTGACTCACTCTTAAACTGAGCCGACTCAGTTCTCAACTAAGTCGACTCTTTTGTTGTTCAAACAAATCTGCTAAATAGATCCCTCATCTTTCAACCTGTGATTCACTTTATGCTTTTGCAGATCATTTCACATGTGCATACTGATATATTGATTGTTCCTTAGCTGTGTTGAATTGTTTCTTTCTTGAAGTCAACAGCTAAATTTTCTTGAAAGGGCCAAATACATGATTCCAAATCTGAGCTCTGCCCAATGAACAGAGCACCTCTGTCAAACATGGCTTCTCTGTCAAAAGCAAACTTTTCTACCAAATGCAACACTGATATGTCTTAATCTTGAGGAGGGTTTACAACGGCTATTAACCAAGGAAGATGCCTATATATGCTGAGTTATGTTGTCTGCAAGAGGTGTGCCTGAGCCTCAAAAAGATAGAGCTGCGAGAGCCATTTTCATGCATCCAAGAGAGCTTTTGCTCTACCATTCTACAAAGCTTTTGTTCTAGTATTACTCTTTGAGAAAGCTTTTGTTCTGAACAATCAATCATCTTCACAAGCTTGCATAGCCAAAACAGAGAGAGAGAAGCTGCGAATTTCTTAAGCAATTTCAGACATTCATTCAGAGCTTTTGCTCTGAGATTTACACTTAGATACAGAGCTGTTGTTCTGTAATTATTTCTCTCATATACATCATACTTAGAGAGTGAGCTTCACTTGTATTCATTGATTCTCTAGAGTGAGTTATAATCTGTAAATCAGAGAGAGATTTGTAACACTTCTATATTTCCAACAAATCTATTGTAAGCCTAAGAGAAGAAGTTCTCTTAGCAAAGCTATTGTAAGGGCTGGTTTGGCCCAAAGGAAGTCTAAGAAAGGGTGTTTCTTAGCAAGAAGAAGCAAGAGAATTGCTTCACTACAAGGTTTGCTCTCCACCCGTAAGGAGAAGCCATAGTGGATTGGGAAGTCTCAAGAGGGGTCTTGAGCCGAGGAGTAGGAGTTTCCGAACCTCGCTAAAATTGCGGTGTCTATGGTTGCAATTTCTCTATCTCCTCTCTTTGCATTTCAGTTTATACTTGCTGCAATTTACTGATTTGTTCGTTATAATTCTGCCTATATGAAATTGCATATTTATGTTAAGTAGCTTGCTAAAATTGCATTGCTTTAAATTTTAAATCTGCCATTATTATAATCTGCCTAGATGATTGATTGTTCAGATGAACAGAGCACCTCTGTCAAACATGGCTTCTCTGTCAAAAGCAAACTTTTCTACCAAATGCAACACTGATATGTCTTAATCTTGAGGAGGGTTTACAACGGCTATTAACCAAGGAAGATGCCTATATATGCTGAGTTATGTTGTCTGCAAGAGGTGTGCCTGAGCCTCAAAAAGATAGAGCTGCGAGAGCCATTTTCATGCATCCAAGAGAGCTTTTGCTCTACCATTCTACAGAGCTTTTGTTCTAGTATTACTCTTTGAGAAAGCTTTTGTTCTGAACAATCAATCATCTTCACAAGCTTGCATAGCCAAAACAGAGAGAGAGAAGCTGCGAATTTCTTAAGCAATTTCAGACATTCATTCAGAGCTTTTGCTCTGAGATTTACACTTAGATACAGAGCTGTTGTTCTGTAATTATTTCTCTCATATACATCATACTTAGAGAGTGAGCTTCACTTGTATTCATTGATTCTCTAGAGTGAGTTATAATCTGTAAATCAGAGAGAGATTTGTAACACTTCTATATTTCCAACAAATCTATTGTAAGCCTAAGAGAAGAAGTTCTCTTAGCAAAGCTATTGTAAGGGCTGGTTTGACCCAAAGGAAGTCTAAGAAAGGGTGTTTCTTAGCAAGAAGAAGCAAGAGAATTGCTTCACTACAAGGTTTGCTCTCCACCCGTAAGGAGAAGCCATAGTGGATTGGGAAGTCTCAAGAGGGGTCTTGAGCCGAGGAGTAGGAGTTTCCGAACCTCGCTAAAATCGCGGTGTCTATGGTTGCAATTTCTCTATCTCCTCTCTTTGCATTTCAGTTTATACTTGCTGCAATTTACTGATTTGTTCGTTATAATTCTGCCTATATGAAATTGCATCTCCAAATAAATTTAGCGGGAATGCTAGTTTCTAGCCAGCTGTATATAAGGAAAAAAGAATACATTTTTCTTTTTTCGAAAATTAAAGCAATTTTCATTGATTTTGGAAATTTACAAGTGGGCCATAGGCCCAAAATAAAAAGAAATACAAGTCAAGCCCAAAGCTTGCAACAAAGGCTGAGCATGCAGGCCCAGCAAAGGAATACAATTCCAAACACAAAACCAGAAAATAAAGGACACATATAACACCACACAAGGCATGACCAAAATGTCTCAACCAGAGATGCAGAACAACAGCCTCTCACACAGTAAGACACGACTATTTTATGCATGTATGTGTAAATATATATATATAGAGAGAGATATAAAAAATTTGGGGGAAAAAACAAACCAATTTGCCACTGAACAAGCCAAGTCTGGTATATGCATTTAGCAAACAATTCAGATATCTTCTTGTATGAACCGTGTGATTCTTGTCCTTTAGGATCTTAGCTAGTAGAAAAGTAACAAGCTGAAGAGATCAAGGAATACATGTGTGTATAACCTAGCTAAGATAAAGCACATAATCCTTTTTTGTCCTCTCAGAATCTCTTCCAATGTTGCTTTTGTATCTGTCGGAAAATAGGATCAAATATTGGATGTTTCGAACATCATGAAGCACAAGAAAATTCTCACGTTGATTACCATATAAAATATGTTATGAACAAGACGCAAAATAAAAATTTGACAATGTTTTAAATTGCAGGTATGTGCACAAGCTCGAGCATAATATATATCCCTATGCAATGTACTGTTCCAAAACTTGAAAATACCTAGATTCAAATACTCAAGATTCAAAAAATTCAAATAGAAAGATTTGGATTAGCATTTGATTGATTCCATAGGAAGTAATGATGTCGATGAACATATTGATTACAATGATGATGGTTATATACCATAAGCTGTCGCAGATTAATCTACATGATGGCAATATTATAGTTAGTTACACTTGATTTTTTACTCTTCTTGGTTGAAGAAAACTAATTGTTCTGTCTCTTCCATGTATATTTGGGAGGCTATACAATTATAAGTTTGTCTTAAATTTAGTCTAATAAGTATATGTTTTCCCTTCTACATACCATTCAAATCCTCGCAACTACGCCACCATGCAGTTGTTATTCCCGACTATGTTACTTGAACCGGAGTGACTAACCCCTATAGTTAGGCTCTGGATGAAGGCTATCATCTGCAAAACAATATGTACTTCGTAAGGATAAATCCATTAGCAAGAACAATTGTAATATTACAATTGAATGGTATATGAGATGTGATAATTGTATCAACTATTACCAGTCTGACCTAACTTGTATGATGTTGTTATTGCAAGAATTTATAGGTTTTGTGACTTCACAGTATTGCTTCAGATGCATGTTTGTCATATCTTTTACCAAAGCATAATCAGTACTGCATATTTGAATGTCTCGAACCATTGTATTATTGGTCAAGTTTATAAGCTCAGCTCCTTTAAAGAGAGCGGATGGTCCAGCACAATCGTGGGCCATGTAGTGAACTTGACCGTTTATCTAATAATGAAATATACAAATGAAGTAAATGCTCTTACCGATGCAAGTCCAATGCACAGAATACTGAAGCCTGGGAAATTAAACGGTGCTTCCTGAGATAGAAACAATGCTGGAAGGAGAATAGCAAGTTGTTAGTTAGAAACAGATCTTTGTTTTTCGTTCTCATTATGTAGAAGAGAGACACAATTTTCATCACTTTCCAGCTTACCTGTGAGCGGACTAAATATTAGGGGAGAGATGATGTTGGCTAAGGAACTTATGCCTGAAATGCATCCTTGAGCCATCCCCTAAAACGTGTTCAAATCCATCAAATTAAATGCAAAGTAAAAAGAAGAAGAAAACTTTGTGTGCTGAATGAAAACAATTAGCGAGATTGGATATTCTCAGAATACAAATTAACAAACAGTAAAGATTGAAACTGTCTTTTGATGGTCCCAACTTATGAATTAGGCGGCCTAATTACTAAGTTTAAATTCCTGAACTCTACATCACATCTCTTCGAGTATGCATAAACAATTCCAGGGACAATGGAATCCAACATCAATAAACTTTTAGCTCCACGCATATTAAAACATAAGCCCTTAAATCATAATAACAAAACCTCCCTTTTAATAATACCTGCTCATTTGGCCCAACTTGTTTTGATACAATGCTTCGTAACTGCATAAGTCAGGAACTCATCAACGATCATAGTAATTATAGCAGCAGAATATGGCTTATTTGAAGGTGATAGTATACTCACACATGGTATTGAAAATACAGAAAAAACACCAAGCGCACAAACGACATAAGGAACCTGAGCATTGTTAAAAATATCCATAAGATGAAGGACAACTCAAATTTATTGGAGCAAATAAGACAACTATCCATTAACAAATAAATTGCAAAGGACTACTGCAGAACGGTATAAAGGATGACTAGTTGAAAGAGCTTACCCAAGCTGCCCAAGCTATGCTGTTAAGTAGCATCTGCATAATACCAGAAAATGATTACCATCATATACTCCATTTATTCTCTCTCTCTCTCTCTCTCTCACGCACACAGGCGCACATAGCTAGATACACATTGATTACACAGAGGGATGCACATTTGAAAAACAACATGTTACAGAGTGATACAAAGCACTTGCTTACATTTGAAAATCCAAAAAAGAGCCCTATGGAAAGCAACTTGTTCTCTCCTATAACAGGAGCCAACATGGGCATGAAAAACAGCTGCAGGATTCACAAATATTTACGAATTAACTCGTGGAAACAGGATTTATTTGAGAAAGGCCCATATAGAAAATGGAAAAAATATGTTGAGAGATAGTAATAGCAGAAAATAGAAGTGGAAGGTCATTTAAACTTACCTGTGAAATAGTCGCTCCCGTGCCAACAATTAGCATTGTATCGGCAAACTGGTCTTTGTTAAACTGAAAGCGAGCCTTCAAGAAATACTGCATGGGATGAAAACTTCAGATTTATAAACAGATTTTGATTCCCATTGCAATCATATGCACAAGAAAGCTTAATTGGTGTATAATAGTAGCACATATACTCATAGAAGCACCATGTTTGCACATTATGGTTCTGTATTTCTTCTCTTCATCCACTGAACATCTACATATTCGGTAAGCTTTACATATGGACACCTTTCGTTGAGTTCTATGAAGGAGGACTGCCTTTTTATTTTTCTGTTTTGCCTAATAATTTAAATTTAATATGTAATTATACCCTTGTGGTTTCTATTATCTTGAGGCCAATAACCTCAACTGTAACTTCTGTGCTTATTTTTCGTTTTCATTAATGTTGCCCAAAGTTCGTGCCTTGTCCAGTATGATTTTGCAAGGGAAAAAGCTAGAAACATTGACTATATTGATTCTTAGAGTTGTATTTTGGATGTCAAAAGAAAGAATTAAATAATCTCAGGATTGTTGGAATATAAGAAATGAAAGGAAGAGACTTCATAGTATGAAGAAAAGTACCAGTAATGAAGCTTGAATTCCACCATCTGCTAGACTATTGAAAAATGCAACAAGTGCTGCTTGTGAAAGTATCTTGCTGCAGTATGAGCAAAATACGATATGAGAATACAAGTCTTAATTATGTCAAAACATCTTAAAAGAGAGAAAAATTATGGGCGATAAAGCTAAACCAACAACTTGCACCCATTATATAGAAGAAAATCATTCATGGGCTTTGCAGTGAAGTATTAATTCAAAAAAATAAATTAAAAAAAAAATCCTGGAATTCTCTTAAGCAACTATTTATCTTGAAAAAGGTTGGGGTTTAAGAAGAAATTTGGGATTTTATACCGAAAGGAGAGTATCATCACATACCACATCGATTTTTGGCTTAGGAAGTTTTTAAAGAGAAGGTATTAAGCACACCAACAAACCATTGTGGAGTCCTCGTTCATTAGGCCCTACGACTCAAAGGGTGCCTCAAATTTCCTCTGGCAAGAGCATCCTAGTTCTATATAGTTGGAAGTTCTACTGTCAAGAATTAGATTTCACACCCTATGTTCCTTAAGTAACACTAATGGAATTTTATTTTCCTGTGGAATGAAAAATCAATTGGATCAATTAATGAGCATATAAGAACAATAATTTATAGAAAAGAAAACAATCGAACCGAATTTGTCTCACCTACTTTTAAGCAAGCAAATGAGCTGGACGGGTGATGGAATTTTCTTGAAGACTTGTACCTTCCTAGATGATTGGCCATCAGATTGAGCAGTGTCATGGTCACTTACACTCTTCAAGATTGGCATAGCCAAAGCATCACCTTCATATGTTGTTTCCTTCAGGAAAAGTCTCATGTACACAGCAGCAACCATAGATACACCTGCGGCAACCTGAGTCGAAAATACAATAAATAAATAAATAAATAAATCTGAAACCAATTGACAGGCAAAAATATATATCTAAAAGGGGTAAGAAAAACATAAAATGTTGAGCAAAAACCTGAAAAGCCCTGGCGGGGGAGAGGAAGCGAGCAGCTAAAGTACCACAGACAAATGCACCTGAGCCTATGCCAGAGAGAACACCAAATGCTGACACCCGTTGTCCCTCTGAAATGTTGTCCGCCTGAGAGAGCAAGAGTAATGATTAGCTATAACGGTAGTCTTAAGCATGGCCTGTTCACTAGTCATCAACGGTTTTGGATGGAAAACTAGTTCTAACGGTAATCTTAAACATGCTCTGTTCACAAGTCAAAGGATAAAGCCTGGTATGCTAAAGGGTTTATTACAAAACATAATGTTCAATTTGATGATTTGAATTTCAATCAAAATTTAATGGGATATTTCATTTTTGTTGTTTTAGAATGATTCTGGGAAAATAAATATTTAAATTGAATTATTCAAATTCATCAAGCAAAAGGGACATTTAAAATCTCTATAATTAACTACTCCCCATGAGGTTATTTTGATAATAGACAGAAAAATAAACTCCACTTTCTTCAAATTTTTAAGTATCAGAATGGAAAAGTACAACAGGATTGTCCTCCCTAAGTCCATTAATTCCTCGAGTCATACTAAGGTACAATTCAATCATTAAATTTCTTGTATGACTTCAAACAGAAGTTACTAGTTTCACTAACTTGTCACATTTTAGAATTTGGTTGAAATTCATTTGTTTGACACCCTCTGAATCAAATTGTCCATGATGTAGTCATATTTTTAGAACAATTTTGCACCCCAAACAATAGCACATATTGATGGCATCAATATGAAGCGATAGTTAGTAGTTAAAAAGTTCAAATTACCACATAAGCGAGAGCAAGGCACTGAACGCTTCCTTCACTAATCATGGCAGTGAGAATCCTGAATCCATAGTATGCATAGAAGAAGTTTGTTGTCCTGTCATATGCCAATATAACTGCAAACATGTTTTCCTATTAGTCTAACAATATCAATAGAGACACAAAATTGCTAACAATTAATGAAACTAAAAATACTAAAGAAATAATCTTTTTTTATATATTAAAATTAAATTCACACAAGTTTTCCTCTAATTCCATTTCAATCCAAATAAATGAATTCTATGCTGACAAATGCAACATTTGTGTTTGAAGCTAATTGTTCTATACTTTTTTCGTTTTTTAGGGGTTAGAAATGGTTAAATCTGATCACTTTGGCATTTTGGAGCAATGAATGAAAACTTAACTACCAAAGTAGTAGCCTTGTGGTATCTCCTCTTGTGACAACCTTTGTGGGCAGGTGCAAGACACTAACGAGCTAACAACTGCAACGATACGACCCGAAATGGAAGATGAGGGGTTGAAGTTCCTCCAAGAACGCATGTATCTACTTTAAGGTTTTTTTGTATTTCTAAATGATAATGACAATGAGTTGAGAATATTTGATGGTATTTTCGAGTGTGATTTGTCCAGTGGATGTAATAGGTGGCCTAAAAAAACAGGAACACTACGTGTCACCTATTTTGTTGTCACTTGTTAGTCCCACTTAGGAAACAAAACAAGCTTTAAAATTGTTTTAGATATATGCCACCACAAAATTATAAGCGATAGTTAGTAGTTGAAGGAATTCTTACCTAATGGAATAATGGAGACAGTCATGGGGAGTGTGAGCAAAGCCTTCCTTCCATACATATCAGAAAGATTCCCAATGAGTGGCATCATCACAACCGTCCCTAATCCTATGATCTGTGCACCAAAGCCAGTCACTGTTAGATGAATCATATATTTCTTGTAAATAAACAAGGCGTCAGATACCATAAGCTAAAAGGAGTCCACATGTTAGATATATGCCACCACAAAATTACAAGAATTTTTAGGAGTTATGTTGGAACAAGTCAAACCAACCTTATATGAGGTGAGTCCCCCTGCCCGATTGTTCTGGATCAAATTCTGACCCAAATTTTAATTTTTTTAAATTATACTGTAATCATGAGAAGCTCTTAAGAGTTTTTTTAAGTACATCAATCTAATTATTGTTACATTACAGCGGCTCAAGCCTTGGGCAAAAATATATCTTTTATGCTATAAAAACTGATTTCAAATGCTCAATTGGATGCTCTCAAAGAGAATATTAATAATTTGTTTGAAAACGAAATACTGACTTCAAATGCTTTGGAGTGTTACGGTGAAATACATACAAAGTGAGAGATAAAATAAAAATACACCAGTCCAAAACTACATAAAAGGGGTGAGGAATAGAAAATAGGAGCTGGAGTGAGAGAGATGGAGAATAATCTAGTTTAGACAGAGACATGAAAAGAGAGAATATAAAATAATAATAAAAAATATATATTAAAAAATTTAGAGTTTAATAGAAAAGTGGAGAAAACTAAGAAGATCCAAATAAATAAATAAATAAAATTAAATAAAAAGTTTTATCATCTTTTTAATATATACTCTTTTCATCCTAAAATAAATAAATTAAATTTTTTTTAACTTTTAGAGAATGATTTTTATTATTTTTTTAATTATATTGATTGAATGTAAGAAAATAAATTGATAATATTTTTCAAATGAGACACTTACTGGGACCGATAAAAAATGAGCTATGGGACAGAAACGGATAAAGTATTAGACAAGAATAAAATATAAATGAATATAAGATTAACTAAATGAAAGATGTCCACAGTTAATATATCAAACATGGTCACATTCGTTGCTACTGTAGGCGGCCGCCTCAATCACCAAAGCTAAGCGCCTGTTAGATTTAGGGTTGGCACAATATGCGAAATGGACAAATAATTACAACATGCGAAAAAAGTGAAAATGCAAACGACAAGACAGACACCAATGCATTCACTCCGCATCACCAAAAGTGGAGCACTACAATTGATTCCACTCTCTTCTTTTCCTTCAAAATTTCAATTTTCATTTCCAACGGCCCAAACGACGATTGGGTACGACTGATCTCTACATGGGTGAGTTGGGGTCCACTTGATTGGTCTGCTTTACTCTTCTCTTCTCAAGTCTGCACACATATACCGTATACGAATGGCTACGAAGAGCCAATTCGGTAGGTTTGAACTTTGAAGGTTAGGTCTGGAGTCGAGCCAAGGGCTCGATCTGTCGTCTACATACTTGTCGACGTGTGCACTTACGAACCATGTTGTACCAAACTCAAGATACGGTATTTTATATTCCAAAGCGAATATAATAAAACAAAGTAAAGACTTTTTTTTTTTTTCCCCAGATTTTTTTATATAGAGTGTTTTTTATTTACAATTTACTCTAAAAATATATATATGCTATTACAAAATGAAGATGCGTGGTGGGATTTTTGAGTCTCCCCAATTGTATGTTTAACAGCCTGAAATTCATTCCATGGATTTGGAATTGAGTTTAGGGTGAAAAAAATAATTCCAAGCTTTAATTAATTAAGAGTATATAATTGAGTTCAATTTGAGGACGTTAATTAGATGAAGACAAAACGGACGTTAATTACAGTCCCAAAATCCGGAAAGGCATTGAATTACATGCACAAAAAAATGGTGTGAGTGCGTGAGAGAGAGATTAAGATAATCAAAGTAAAAGCAGAGTAGTCATGATGATGGCTCAGAAGAGTAACTGAAAGTTACCGCTACTATAGTAAAGAGGGAATGATGTATGCATCAATTATATATATATATATATGCATGTATGTATGTGTATGTGTATGTGTATGTGTATGTGTATGTGTATGTACATACCGCCTGTTGAATACCGGTGAGGTAGATGGCAAGTGAGCATTCATCTTTACCGGGACAAAGTGCGGCCATGGTGATGTCTGTAATAGCCGGAACTACGATGATTACGGCGAAGTTAAAGAGGAACACCGTCACAAACAGGTGGGTTAAACTTCCCAACTTCTCCATTTCTCTCTCTAAACACTCTCTCTCTCTAGGTTTTTGATATAGCTAGGTCAGTGAGATTACTCCTTGAAACGTTGGTAGAATTGCATTGATTTATAGATTAGACAAAATATCTATATATGAGACCGACTTTTGACTATTGTGGTTTTGCTTTCGACAAAAGAAAATGAGAAAATGAAACTTATTCCATTGGCCTTATTTTTAACTGGAGCTTGTAAAGAAGGGGAAAAAAGCAAAATGGTATGCAGGAAAAAGTGAGGTATAAGTTATAACGGTGATGGTACGTGGCCTCTAAATTTTCTACGTGTCGGTTGTGATCCAACCATTCCTCATTTACTCTTCTCGACTTTTCTTTCCACAAGGTAAAAACATTAATTTAATAACAACCAAAAAAAAAAAAAAAAACAAACAAACAATATGGGAATACAATAACACCAAGCAGAGGTAAGTTCAAGTTTAGAAGCAAGAGTGGAGTGCTTTGGCCGACAAAATCAAGGCCATATAAAGATTTTAGTTCAATTGCGATTTTGCTTGACAGGAGTGAGTCATCACTTTTGCTTCAAAAATTAGATTTTTTTTTTTTTTTTTTAAGGTCTCGTTTGACATGAGTTTTATTTGTGTTATTTTTATTTTTGGACTGTTACAGTAATTTTAGTTTTATTTTACACAATACTAAAACACTTCGTGAACAGTGACTCAAAATCAAAACTATCAAAAAATTATTTTTTCTTATTTTGACAACTGTTCATGACCCAAAACTAAGTTCTAAACAAAATACCTAAAACAAAGCGCATGCCAAAAACATCGTTCCCAAACGTGCTTCTGATTTTTTTCCAAAATACTCACACAACAAAACACTATTTCTATTTTAGCCAAAAACAAAATGCCTAAAACAAAGCGCATGCCAAACATATATCCTTTTTTTTTAAAAACGAAAAATATTTATATTAAGGCTCCATTTGTTTGAGCATAAAATATTTTTTATATTTTTTGTTAATGGGTTGTTATAAAATATTTACGAAAAAAAAAAAATATATATATATATATATATAAAAAACAAAAATAGCTTATTTATCAATTTTATGCAAGTTATATTACACACTTCCACTTGATGGACTTGACCTACACCTTTGTCAAACACAAAAAAAAATAAAAAATATTTTACTTGAATATATATATATATTACGTCGAAATAAACGGTCCGTTATGATCCAACCATTACTCATTTACTCTTCGTGGTAAAAAAACATAAGAAATTCAATCAATTGAAGATGAAAACATACCTTTTCACATTAACAACCAAAAAAAAATTTAATAACAACCAAAAAAAAATAAAAAAATAAAAAACAAACAAAATGGGAATACAATAACACCAAGTAAAGGTAAGTTCAAGTTTAGAAGCAACAGTGGAGTGCTTTGGCCGACAAAAACAAGGCCATATAAAGATTTTAGTTCGATTGCGTCTTTTGCTTGATACCTTGACGGAGTGAGTCATCACTTTTGCTTCAAAAATGAGATGATTTTTTCCTCTTTTTTTTTAGGTTTCGTTTGATATGCGTTTTATTTATGTTGTTTTTATTTTTGGCCTGTTACAGTGATTTTAGTTTTATTTTGTACAATACTAAAACACTTTGTGAACAGTGACCCCAAAACCGAAACCATCAAAAAATTATTTTTTCTTATTTTGACAACTGTTTATGATTCAAAACCAAGTTTTAAATAAAACATCTAAAACAAAGTGCATGCAAAAAACATTATTCTCAAATGTGCTTCCAATTTTTTTCCAAAAAACTCCTACAGCAAAAACGCTATTTCTATTTTAGCCAAAAACAAAACGCCTAAAACAAAGCGCATGCCAAACGTACCCTTATCCTTTTTTTTTTTTTTAAGGAAAAATATTTATATTAAGGCTCCGTTTGTTTGAGTATAAAATATTTTTTATATTTTTTGTTAGTTGGTTGTTGTAAAATATTTACGAAAATATATATATATATATAACAAAAATAGTTTATTCATCAATTTTATGCAAGTTATTTTACACACTCCCACTTAAAAGACTCGACCTACAACTTTGTCAAACACAAAAAAAATAAAAAATATTTTACTTGAAAATACATACATATATATATATATATATATATATATATACATATAACGTCGAAAGAAACGATCCGTTATGATCCAACCATTGCTCATTCACTCTTCTCGACTTTTCTTTCCACAAGGTAAAAAACATAAGAAATTCAATCAATTGAGGATGAAAACAAACCTTTTCACATTAACAACCAAAAAAAAAAAATTAATAATAACCAAAAAAAATTTAAAAAAAAAAACAAACAAACAGAATGGGAATACAATAACACCAAGTAGAGGGAAGTTCAAGTTTAGAAGCAAGAGTGGAGTGCTTTGGCCGACAAAAACAAGGCCATGTAAAGATTTTAGTTCAATTGCGTCTTTTGCTTGATACCTTGGGGAGTGAGCCATCACTTTTGCTTCAAAAAAGAGATGGTTTTTTTTTTTATTTTTTTTTAGGTCCTGTTTGGCATGCGTTTTGTTTCTGTTATTTTTATTTTTGAACTGCTACAGTAATTTTAGTAACAAAAGTATGTTTGGTGAGCCTTGTTTTATTTTACACAGTACTAAAACACTTCATGAGCAGTGATCCAAAACAAAAATACCAAAAAGTTATTTTTTCTTATTTTGACAACTGTTCATGACCTAAAACCAATATCTAAACAAAACGCCTAAAACAAAACGCATGCCAAAAACATCATTCTCAAACGTGCTTCTGATTTTTTCCCAAAATACTTCTACAGCAAAAACACTGTTTATGTTTTAGCCAAAAATAAAATGCCTAAAATAAAGAGCATGCCAAACAAAAAAAAAAGGAAAAATATTTATATTAAGGCTACGTTTGTTTGAGCATAAAATATTTTTTAAAATATATTTTTTATATTTTTTGTTAGTTGGTTGTTGTAAAATATTTACAAAAAAAAAAAAAAAAATTAAATATAACAAAAACAACTTATTCATCAATTTTATGCAAAATCTTTTACACGCTTCCACTTGATGGACTCCACTAGGGATGTCAATTTTTACCGCCCTGCCGGGGCCCCGCCCCGTTCCGCCCCGTTAATAACGGATATGGGAACACGTATTATACCGTTGGGGCGGACATGGATACAAATTTTGTACCCGTCGAAGGTCACGGGGCGGGTAAGGGTTCAATATACATATCCTAGGGGCCCCGCCCCGCCCCGCCCCGCATATAACTATATTTAATATATATATATATTAATAAGTTATTTTAGCGGCTTACCCAACCCATCTCTTACAATCCTAATTTGGGATGTAAACTTGGTATTAAATTTGTTTTTGTTTTGGTTATGGTGGAAATTGGAGCTTAGAACTTCTTGTGATTTGGTTGTATTAAACTTTTATTTTTGTTTATTATGTTCTTTGAATTATGTTATGTGCATGTTATTTTTTTTATTTTTGTTAGAATACATAATTTTATTTATGTTGTGTCATTCCTAGGCTTTGCACATTTAAATAGCAGGAGTTTAAGTTCCAAAAAGTGGGAGAAAAAAATTTGTTAGTGGGGCGGGCACGGGGGCACAGTATTTCCTAACGGGGCGGGGTTGGATATCAAAATTCAACCCGTCGCGGGTCTCGGGGCGGGCATGGACTTGACAAAAATTAAAAGGGGCCGGGCGGGATTTAGGGAAACCCGCTCCAAACCCGCCCCGTTGCCATCCCTAGACTCCACTTACACCTTTGTCAAACACAAAAAAGTAAAAAAAGTATTTTACCTGAAAAAAATATATATATTTTACGTCAAAACAAACTGTCCGTTTATTTGGACGTAAAATATTTTCTTCAAAAAAAATTTACTTTTAGATAAAAAAAAAATAATAAAAAAAAAAAAATTGGATATTTGACAAAAGTTTAGATCAATGTTTCAAGTCCAGAGAGTATAAAATAACTTTTCAAAATTTGATGATTAAGTTATTATATATATATATATATATATATATATATATTGTTTTTTTTGGTTAGGAATCCAGTGCAAAGAAACTCGCTATCTCAGCACTGCAAACTTTCTAGAAGAAAACAGTCTCAAGCCCAATCAATCTGCTCTGCGAAATCCGAATCACGAGCCACCACCCCGCCCTAGAACAATTCTGATTTATCCGACCAAAAACGCCTTAATTTTGATTTTCTAGGTGGCATAGCCGGGTCAACACTTTAACTTTATTTTCAACAACGTTTCCGAAAACAAAAATTTATCTCTATATGTTTCAGTTAATAATGCATTTATCTCTCGGTATTATCTCTCAAAAAAGAAAAAATGTGTTACACTTGTCAGATTAATGTACAATATATTATATGAAATAAAAACTTAGTTCTTTTTACACTTATAAAATAGAAAAAAAATTATTTCCTATTAAATTATAATATATTTATTATTTTTTACTAAATATACAATTAAAAAATAAATTAAAGATACTTATTCATTATATATAAACAATATACATTTAATTTTTTAAACTTTAGAATTTACAATAAATTTTCTTTAATATATAATTCTTTACATAGTAACAAATAGGAGTTCAATCTTTATTGAACATAAATAAATAAATAAATAGTTGTTCAATCATCTACTATTATCATACTTTTCAAATCGCGATAAAATTACAATACAATGCGTATTATACTCCTTATATGCTAAATGATCACTTTCCTCATTTCATAAAATGATGCATTTTTAAATCATATGTAAAATGTGTATGTAAAGGCAATTCTGTCAACCTATAATTTAAATATGTTAAGAGAGACCAATTTGTTTCAAATTAAAACTTTATGAATATTTTTTCACACACGAAGAGCGTCATGTGATACGAGGTGTAAACATGCTGTGGGAGTTATTTCAGTGCATGGCCCAATTTGAAATACATACATGTGGAATGAAGGGCAGCCGAAGTAGAAAAGCCTAAAAAGAGGCCGACAAAAACAAGGCCAACACATGAACAAAGGCCCAAGCCAGCCTGGACCATAGCAGATCCAAAAGAGACCACCCCATCTTGCAAGTAATTTAGATCATTGTTAATTTTAAAATAGTTCTCAGACTAATTTACCAAATTATTTTATCAGTGCTTGATTCTGTCACATGA